ACTACGAATCAGTCGTTCGGTTCTGCTTACAATTATTTTGTAATATGATTACAATGCTCCAGAGACTGTTCCATTTTTCCGTGGATTGTTTTGGAGAAACCGAATATTCTCCGTGACGGCTCTGTTATCCCGTGTTTCTTTCGCGTTGTCAGCGGGAAACGATCGAGAAAAGCCAGACAAGGCGGAGTGAAATTGTATCTCGATGACGAAGTCGAAGATTTAGGAGCGCCATCGTAAATGCCGATTCGATTTCGGGAATGAAGCGGGACCACAGTGGGAGGCCGGTTGTGGGAAATTTGCCAAAAGTCAGACCAGAAATCAGTCTTCCACCGTATGTTTGCCCGTTCGACTAGAGTAGCGGCTCGTGAATTCGTGGGTAACACGACACCCCCACACGTCACATCTCGTAATCGGCTCGCGATTACGACATTATCAGACAGAGGACATTCACGGCGAGAATTCCGTAATATCCTCTCGTGATTTCACGAATATAAAAACTATCGATGTCACGACGATACACCTTGAAACACTTTTGTTTCGACTATGAAACTTCAGCAATACCACAGACGAGATATAAGAATAGACCCAACATGCAATGTAATTTTCTGTCTTATGCTTCGGGGGCGTCAGGACCATTTCAGTATTCCATTTCTTGCTAGTCACGGGTGTGTGGGTGCTCTGCGTTATCAAGGTGTGGAACATAATTCCTGATATCGGAATCTTTCATGTAGAGGTGCGCTCGACCAGCGTGATTTTCGTGGGACACCAAGTCCCATAAGATGTTAGGTCTATTCTTATATTTCGTCCGTGGCAAAACCACTAGTTAGAAGAGAGCCCCGGAGGACGAATAAAAAAATAAACGACGACGGTGCCGCGATAACTCTAATCGACATCGTTATGACCGCGCTAACCCATCAGTTTCTTTATCAGCTGACGAAGAAGCGAGGTGAGCTCATTCCCAGCGTTCGCACCGCGTCATCGACCAGTCCGAGTTGAAGATCGCGTCTCGATTCTTTGCCTACTGGCTCTTGGTACAAGGACTCTTTTGTGGCGAGCCTCTTGGGCGCTTCCGGGCCGAATGTGTCATCGGGCCTAATCACGCGCACCTCCGAGAATCGAAACTGTTCTCATGGTTTCGTTGACCCCCTCCAGTTTCCTGGTCCCAACCGCGAAACGGATGGTCTTGTCTACACCGTTCCGAGAAAAACCGTGTCCCACTTCCGTCGAATTCGCAATGTCGTTGCAACCAGAGGCGCCTCCCCATCGTAACCGTCACTTCAGGTTGCATTTACACTCGCGACGTTCGAGAGATCGGGCCGCGGGAACGTCAGGTCGATCGGAATCCATGCGTTTCGCGATGCGAAAAATTGTCCAACCTCTGGACTCCTCGAAGGCGTCGACGTCATCGGTATTCAGCTTTCCGTAGATGGAGGTTTACGACTCGTCTACACACGATCTACATGCACGGGCGTGCATGTATGTCGTTACATCCTCGCGAGTGCGAAAAGCAACGTGCAGTTTGTTTGAATATGATAAGGCCAGGTCGAACTGTAGTCCAATAATTTCGACCTGACGTCACTGTCTATTTCTTCGGCTCCACCTTAGGACAACAAAGGCCACCGTTGACTTTGCACCGCGGCGTTCGCGGCCACCGAATCGCGGGAATATAATTGGAGCACTGCCGCGAGTATCCGCTAATGCGTGGGAGATCCATCGCCCCGAAATCTATAGGATCGGCAAATACGGAGCCGATAAAACGGGTTGACAGGAAATCCAAAGATTCTGAGGATCGTTCGAGTCCGCTTTGAATTAGAATTCGACGAACGCGGTGGCCTGCTCGTAGGACCTCGAGATTCTCACGTGGCGATTCTCGAATACGACAGATTTCCTTCAAGTTCCATGCTCGCATTCTAAACTCTAAAAATATTTCTCACGAGTCCCGCTAATCTCCACAAATACGCGATCCGATGTTTCGCGTATTTTGGAGTAGTTAAGTACCTTGTAGATCCATCTATTCCTCTCGACCTTTCTACTTCTGCAATTCCACCGGTTTACCAGGCCGATTAATCATATATAACGACAGACGCGGGGAGAGTGGGACTCGATGGTGAAATAGGGAGGGAGCCCGAAGAGACGCGAAAGTATCGGTGACTTATTTCTTTCGAACGCGTTCCCTTTCATTCGGTCCGATTAAAACCGGTGTCACTGACCGAGGCCCCCGGTTCGCCCCGCGCTGGTCCACAGGGGTTTTCGTGACTATATCGCACGTATGAACGAGCCTTAAGCCCTCAAAGTGAGAAAAAGAAAAAAGACCCAGAGATGCATTCCAGCGTGGAAGGTGGGATGGATCCGTCTCTGATAACCCGCCCATTGGAATGCGTACCTCGTACACCTTGGCGTATTCTCCCTCTCGCTTCGACTGCATTCAAGTGCATCTACATGCATCGCGTCACACATATTTCGGGTGTGTATTTTTAGATGCGTCATTATTAATATAGGCATGTACACTGTCGTCTATCCAGCTACCTGAGGTGGCTGTATACTCGCATATTTCTCACGTTCACCTTCCAAAATCTCAATGAATTTACAATTACCAAATGATACGATTCACAACTACCAAAGCTTTTAAACACGTTTGACGAACAATCTCCTAGGTGTAAGGATTCAAGGAAGAATTTCTGGTTTCCAGAGGAACGTCGTTCTTATCCGTGGTTAATTCCGAACCCGAGACACGCTTCATTAGCCGCGTGAACTGGCCAGAAGGTTTATTCCAAAATCGTCGGGCGCTATTATTACACGAAGCATGCGCCGAACCGGAGGACCGTGCTACGCTCGGAGAACACGTACGTCGACGAGTACGCGCGTACTTGTTCATTCATCGCGGATCACGCGGTGGCAAGAGTGTGTGAAAGGGAGAGAGAGAGAGAAAGAAAGGGAGAAAGAGATAGCAGAGAGCGTCCGTGTCTCGTAGAATGAAAACGGCCGCGGCCCAATATGTCATACGTATAAGACTATCTCCGTGCACCTTGGTGCACATTCTACCTCTCGGTTTGGCGTCCACCGAGGTGTACGTACGAATAACCGGCGTGTACGTGTTCGGTGCCTATTTTTAGACCGGTCCGGGACTATTTTTAGAGGCAGGCTTTCACGGTGCCCACCGTGCTTAACCCTGACTTACGTCCACGTCCTACGTGGTCGCCTGGACCTAGGGACCAGCCAGAGGACGGGCCGGTCGGTGGAGATTCTTTGCTCGCCTCGACGCATCCCCACGAAACGGTGGTATCGGATTCCACAAAACGGAGAATCGATTCGAATCGACTTCTGTTATTCCAACGAAATGCAAGAAGTTCACCTTAAAAATGAGACGAGACGTTCCAATATTGGGTGTTTAGTTACATTACTTCGTGAAAGAGACCAACGATACGTAGTCGTTCTTCCGGCCCTGAATGCCGTCGTTGTTGATGATAACGCGGGCGGCAAACGTATCCAACTATTACGGCAACAACGATGACGCAATTTCGCGGTTCCTATTTCTGGAGGCAGACGCGCGAATCGAACGAACGTACGACTCACCCTGTGGCCTGATTTCGCTCGCGGCGCTCTGACGCGAGAGCTTGTGTCCAGAGGGGAAAGACCAGACGTTAATAAATAGAAACACCTTGGACACCGGCTCAGCGAGTGATGTCGCCTCTACGTGTCCCTTCGAGTATCGATCTAAATTCTGTTTACCCGTTGGAGCAAAAAAAAACTGATTCGGAGCCCACCCCTTCCGCTACACGTCGTGTGTAGTACATAGAGCGTTGGAGGCATTCGTTCCGTGTCATAGAAATCCCTCAATAAAAATAACCGACAATAAATCACCCGACGTATTTGTAAAAGGAAACCGAGGTTGGCTCGATCGTGGATCTATTAATTATTTCCGAATCCCCCCGGAACGTCGAAGAAAACGAAGGATAAGCCGGTAGAATCTAGCCGCGGGTGGTTCTTAATGAGTTTGCGTTTTACGTATTATTTTTCCTTCCGCCTGGCTCCGTATCGATTGCCCCGCTGGTGAACCCCTTACGCTGAGTCCTCGCGGAGAATCGAGTTAAAGGTGTACGATCCATGAACGTCGATCGATCTCGCGACGTTCACCGAATACCTATATATTTATTAATAGCGTAATTAACCCGATGGAAAATCACGGCGATAAGATTCCGCGTCGTGGTTGTAACCGCGATAAATTACGATGATTTAAAGTGACTCATTGATCACGCGAGGTAATCCGTTTTCTTAATTGCCGCGCGGCGGCTGGTTCGCGGTTGAATAAGGCGAGGAAAGATAAAACGGCGGCCGATGCATAAGTAACGACGATTGGCAGCGTCGCGTTCTGGAACGGTTGCCCGCGTCTCGTTCTATAGACGAAGCACTTTCGCGGGGTCGGATCCCGGTGATTAATTCGCCGCGATCGATCTGAAAATTTTATATACTGCTCGTGCACCGCCAGAAAGGGTAATCGATCGGCCGCAGGAGCTTCGTGTGCGATCGACTAATCGTGAAGAATAAACACCGAGGATTTTTTTCTAGCGAGCAAAAACCGTTCCCTCGGGCCTTGATCAGGCTTCCCTATGGTTCCCTCTTTTTTTCTCTCTCTTTTGGACCGTGCTCGCGTGAATGGATGCACAGTATCCAACATCCGAGGTGTAACGAGCCGCGCTCACTTAAATATAGTGGCCGAGAATCCTGGACCCTGGATAGGAGACGGGTCTTCTGGTCGAACCTCGTATCTCGTAAAAATAGACGTGCATCGATGACGGTTTCGAAACCTATTAGAACCTCGTATATCCGAACGTCTTTGCTGCCGAATGTTGTCCAATGAAATCCTCCCCTTGTTGAGCTCTGAAACGCGAAGCGAAGAAGATTAGAGAGCCTTATTGATCAATCGGCAATTTGTTTTCGCGGTGGTACCAATAACAATAAGATTTTCACCACGATCGCTAAGCAAATATTGCATATTACAGGTTAACAGCGGCTCGCCGGCGGAAGCAGCAGGCCTGAAGGCCGGCGATTCAGTTATCAGGGTGAACAGCACCGAAGTATACAACCTGAGGCACAAGGACGCGCAGGATGTTATTGTCAGAGGCGGCAACAATTTCGAGATGACCATACAGAGGTATACAACGAGGCCGCAGTCTTAACATTCTTTCTCTCTCGTTTTTGCTATCACGTTCTCTGCGGCTTTACCTTCGCGATATCAACGAGAACGATATTGTTGACTCGTATTAAATTTAACTTACGATCGCGTCCGACAGAGGTGGAGGCGCATGGAAGCCGCACGTGTCGCCTCTGAGCTCCACCCTTCCGTCGCCGTCGCCCACCTCGATGGGTAACATTACTCCAGTCACGAAGACATCCTTGGCAGCCAAGAAACAGGATGGATCGCACATCGGAAGCGGCCACAACTTCAGTCCAAAACCATTCGTTAGTGTCAATTAGCCTCGTGGAAATCGAGGAAATCCTTCGAGCCTCGTCCCAAAATTTTCTGGAAAATAATGCGACGATGTTAAACGATTTCGCGCGTGCATTGCAGCTTAATGGAACGGGCGACGGTCCAATCAAGTCGATCGTGAACAAACAGTACAACAGCCCGGTAGGAATCTACAGCGAGGAGACCATCGCGGAGACATTGTCCGCGCAGGCGGAAGTCCTGGCTGGAGGTGTTCTTGGGTAAGAGTCTTGGATATTTCAATCGTCCAGTAAACTATTTATATTACGTATAACACTGACACGGTGCTGTTCCGTTTGCAGGGTGAACTTCAAAAAGAACGAGAAGAACTATAACGCCGAGAACAGCGAAGTATTCAAGATGGTCCAGGAGGCGGATAAAGAACCAAAGACACCGGAGCCTGGTTAGTAGCCAACCGTTAACACTTAACGAAACGCCTCGAATATATATATATATATATATATATATATATCGAGAATCTTCCGGTTGTATTAATACTTTGGTAACGAATAGCCAATGTCTAGTACAAATGTAGCTCAAAGATCACTGGAGAGTTTTCATTAATTCGATGTACATACACAAGAAACATCTTTTGTCGGAAGTTTTTTTTAATAGAGATATTTTCTGGCTCACGCGAAACAACGCTATACGCCTATAAATTTAACAAGGAGGATGAGAAAGCTAACGGTTCGTGATCGCGAAGCGTGAAACGAATAATGCGATTATAACGGGGCAATAGAGGATCGCTCTCCAGTGATTTTTTCAAGTGGATCGGCTGGCCCGAGAACTGTCAGCCGCTGGTGCATGCCGGTACGATAACTTCTTTGCGAAATAGCGGAGCCCACTGCACAAAGCGGCGTGATTACGCCGTCCTCGCCGGCCCTGGCAGGACTGAGGCCGGTCTCCGCGCCGGAAACCAAACAGCAACAGCAATACCAGCCGCCACAACAACAACAACAACAGCAACAGCAACAACAGCCATCAACGCCGCAATCGAGCCTACCACCCGGACAGAATATTTGTGCCGAATGCGAGAGGCTCATCGTGTAAGTTGACGCGCCGAGACTTATCGCGCTCTCGGCCGTTACTATCTTTCTTTCAGCGATCCGAAGACACACACACGTCGAACGAGAGAGGAAAAATAGGAACACGATGAATTGTATTACATTTCGACGAAGAGAGAAGGCGAGACGCTCGCTTGTTCGCGGATTTTCAATTTTCCGTCGAATCCTTCCTCCTGGAAAGATTCTAAATGATTCCACAGATACGAAACAGACGCAACCAGAAGAATTCGATTCGAATTGAAGATCCGCGAAGAGACCGTTCCCGCAGGGGGATAAGCTCGTTGCTCACGGTCATTAAACAGGCTTCCCAGTCGTGTTCTAGTCGAGTCACAGAGCGGTTTTCTCTACTTCCATGTCGTAGTTCATCCGAGAACAGAGTTTTACTCATCGGTGAGCCACGCCGTTGGCGGAAGGGCCACCTCGCCGAGATCACCCACGCCTCTATTTCATGCACTCCACGGCAATGGTCCGGTCTTCAATTCCAATGAAAATTCGTGGAAACGTCCGCCGCAACGACAGGAGTCGTCGTCGTCCTCCTCCCCCTCTTCGGGCACGTCGATCGTCCGTTGTAGCAACTGCGACCGAGTGATCGTGTAACTATTCACGTGACAATCATCATCCTCTTCTTTTTTTTCCCCCCAACCCCCCCCCCCCCCTTGCACAATCCCGGTCGAGATGGATCGGAATTCTCTGTAGCTTGTCGACGATACGCCGCTTCTATGAACTGTCTCATATGTATACATACATACGTAGAAAAAGAAATGTGTAATGCGACGCGTGGGTGGGAACGAGCTCGCGACTTCGAGATTATACACAGGCACGCTTGGATTCGTGCAACGTGTGTGTATTAATGTTGTCGGTTGATCTCTCGACGGGCAACGTTTGCTCGCGAATCGCGAGCCTTGTTCCCCAAAACGAAAGAAACATAATGCACGTGAAATCGTGGCCGGCTAGACTGCTCGATTGTCGTACGCTGGTATATATATATGTATATATATCATCTCTCGAACGCTTTGATCAAGACGAAAACGTGCACCCCTTCGCATATTATACCCTCCATCGAACGAACGTTCATCGACCTGAACCGAGTCGAGCTTGAATGTCAGTCACGATCGACGTGTAATCGATCGACAATGCGAAATTTTGATGTTGTTTTTTTTTTTATTACACATGCACGTTTTTCCCGCTCTGTTTGAGTCAAAGCACAAACACCCACTCTCTCTTTCTTTCTCTCTGTTTCTGTCTCGCCTCTATCGTTGGTATCGCTTCTTCAGTAAAGGACAGCCCACCATTTCGATTTTCATTATAATTCGCCATCGTAATAGCTTCTCTCGCTTCATCAACACGGGAAGTCTCTTCATTATTCGACCCTTATCGCATCTTTTTAGCATTTCAGTGTAATTGTCGTATCGTTCCGGTATGCGATTACCGGAGCAAACGATGAACAAGCTTTCGATGTTGTGATTTTTTTCTTTCTGTTTTTGAATATTATTATTGTTTTTTGATGTCGATGTTACGCTTTTTGTACTATTTTTGTGGATACTCTTTTGTAGACACCTTTTGCTCCGTTTTTCCTATATCTTTTTTTTTTTTGTCGTAAAGAGCACTTTTTTCACGCGAGAAACACGTATCCTACCTGCCTCGCCATCGAGTTTTTGTCGAGTAACGATTCACTTGAACAATATACAATTGTACTTTGAGCCTATTCAGATACTCATATCACAAGGTTTTACATTTCTATCACATTTCACGTTGCTCTTCATACCACATCCGCCTACGAGCACCAATTTTGTGTTTTCGGCCTCCATCGTCGAGGTGACGAGTTTCCACATTTTCTTACTCCGAATATTCAGATCAAAAACTCGTGGCACATCCGACAACAAAGCACTCTGCACTTATTGAAACCATACGAATATCTCGGATGTAATTGGGCGTAACCTCAAACGATCAACCTGTTCCACAGGGGCGTGTTCGTCAGGATCAAGGAGAAGAATCTTCACGTGGAATGCTTCAAATGTTCCACCTGCGGCACTTCCCTGAAGAACGTCGGTTACTACAACATCAATAACAAACTGTACTGCGACATTCACGCGAAACTGGTCGCCAGGCAAAACGCACCTGCTGGCATGGTTCCAATCACCGTACCGCCGTAAGTAATCCGCAATTTATTACTCCTACGCCTGAAATAATAATCGTTCGTGATCACGATGGATTTAACACAAAATACAAACGTAACACCGTGGAAGCGTAAACGTTTTAAATTAGCAACGAGGAACTTACCGGAAATTCAAAGGAATGCGAACAGCATAAGGAGCCGTGAGAAGAATGCGTGACAAATTTAGATAAAAACGCAATTAAATTTACAGAGGCGGAAAGGCCCCGGCCAGCACCATTTCCGCTGCGCTAGCGAATGCACCGCTGTCTCCACCCCTGAGTAACCACGCATCCTCGCCTCTACCGTTCTCTGTAAGTATTCCCAACGAGATTTTCTTCTATCGCATACAGTATTTTGCACATAGTGTTGCTTTGCACTCGCTCGTCACATTAAATTCACCCATTCGATCGCTTCAATAAAGGGCTGAGATGCGCATCTTGTCGGAAAATTTTGTTGCAATACACGAGCTTCGAAAAGTATGTTGTCGATGTTTTTGTAACCGCTATGTTATTTGCAAACAATCTTCTTCGATGTTCATTTTTTTTTTTTTCATTTACACGCAAGTAGAACGTCTTGTTCTTTCTTCGAATGTCGCATTCGATTGTTATTTACTACTTGAAACGGACCGAAAATGACTACGAATTTTAACGCGCGACTGTGTGCGTGTGTGCGTGTGTGGCCTTTGCTTTTGCACTAATCGCTTTTCCAGGCTTGCAATCGTTCGAGTCCCGATTACGGATCCCCGAATCTACAAGTATCGTCCCCGAATAGGAACGGATGCATCACGAACGGCGAGTGCCACTGGGAATCGAAAACGTTCACGAGCACTATCACCATACAGACGGGTTGCACAGAGGTTGGCAAAATAGTTGAAATCACGGATCCTCCGAATTCGAATATACATATATTGTCCGAATGACCCCCTTGGCGGTTCGATAGATCCACGGCATTGGATCGTCTAGAGTCAAATCGGATTACATAAAAAAACAATGAGTCAAACATTGTCAAAGATACACGATGAATCAGACCGAACGGGGACACGCGTACCGAAATGAAAACGCGGATTTTAAACAGAGAAAGATGCAGGAACCTAGAAGAAAGTCGAGGAGGATAGATAGAGAACATTTATTGACAATAGCGATCGGAGTCATCGTTATGATATTCGACCTGATCGTCCTTCTATATTCGCGAACTTCCTCCTCGTCGACTCGCCGCAATATCGGTCCTATCACCTGCCAATCATGATCATTTACCGTTGACGGCATCTATTTCGACGCGGTGACTAATTAGCCTGGCGCGATCACGAGTGTGCGTGTTGCCATTAGCTATATCCCCGAATCTCTCCCCCCCTTTTTTTAATTGCCACCGCCACGTGACATCGTTCTGTCGTTTTATGCATTGCAGCCCACCCGCCTTGGCACATCGCCCGTCGATCCACCCAGTTTCCGATCAGTCCAGGTAATGTCCCAACGCGGCTCGTCTTAAGCGTCTCGCGACTCGAAACCTTACACTTCGTAAGGTACGTCCTTAGCGATCCGATGAAAATCACGCAGACCGCGGTGCCGCTGCTTTGAACACCAGATATGTTCACCAGAGAAGTACGTCTAATTTCGACAAGTCCAAGCACGGGAGCACCGTCGGGATTTCCTGAGACCGCGATGGATTACGAGAGAATTTCTGCATACTTGAACCATTCCCCTCGTGGGTGATCCGTGACCGATTTTTTTACCCGGCGATTCAGTGCGTGGCGTATCCCGATCTCCCCTGAATTCTATATCTTTCAAAGTTGTACGTTATTCGAAAAAGGTGTACAAGTGCACGCGACACGAACGAATCTCTGCATCGATGCAATGTGGTGTCAAGGCAGCGGATAAAAAAAGAGAATGACTTAGTTTCTTCGTTTGTTTTTTCTTTTCTTTTTCAAACTAATTTAGCTAGTTCACTAGATCAGTAGCGTTGTGCATCGCAATTGTCGTGTTGTTTCGTCAGAACCGCCTCACTAATACAACCGCATCTAACGACGTCGCGTTTGTGTTTCTTTTTCTTTTTTTTTTTTCCTTTCTGTCAGAATGCGAATTTGTTCTTTCTTCGATCGTTTTGTTACATTCAGGCGTCCGTGCCGAAATCGAGAACACACCGTGTAACCAAGTATTCTGTACCCCATACAGGCGCCAGCGTCCAACAACCTAATTGGTCCCAAGCCGTTCGGGGGATCGAGCAATCTATCATCGAATCTGTCGTCGCCGCCGCTAGTGAACACAGGAAATAGCACTCTGCCGCGACCGCAGAGTCAGACCGTGACTGGTAAGTGTTTCCCATTCATGATTAATCGCGACACAACTTGCCGGTGGAATCGTCGAGGAAATAGCGAATTTCTATCTTCGTGTGACACGCAGGAGGGGAAGAAAAACCGTCTCCTCCATTGACGACTTACGTAATTCCGATAACGTGTTACGTAACCTCGTTAACCCGTTTCGTACGCACACGACTGAGATATATCACGAACGCCAGATGAATTTCTATAGACTCGAAAGGAAAGAGTCGTGGTTCTCGGTTGCACGGGTAAATCTTGTTCAAGATACTACTCGTCGCATACTACGATTCCAAAGTACATACATACATACACTTGTGTCTATCTCGATTCTGCTTACGTGCACGAAATTCCCGCGACGCGAGCATACCGTGAATAATTACGACAGGCACGCCAAGCGGTGTGTCTCGAGACGGGAACGTTATCAGGAAACAAAACCGGAAATCGTCGTTCTTATAAGTTAAACCGATGACAAGCGCACGGCTTTCTCGTTCGTATCTGGACGGAACGATCTTTCTGGTCGATCGTTGTAATCCTAAACGGGCGAGTAGAGCCCGCCTATTATCCTTGGCCTCACATTTGCTCTTCGATTGTTGCAAATAGGTCTCTTCTCCGTCCTGCCAAAGCCAAAAAGCACGCCCTTCAGAGGTATGGCGAATAGATTCGAGCCTGCTGACCGAGTTTCGAGCTTTGGCTAATACTCGCCCCATTTGGCTTGCGTCCTCGCATACTTTTTTTCTTTCTTCTGTTCGCATAGCCCCCCTTTCTTCATTGATCTCATTCTTTGTCCCGATGTCGGGCACGCGAGAGCACCCGCGACGATCGATAGATCATCGAACGTGGACGATCCCTCACGACGAGCGCGCGAAACCGAACATTTCACGCCACCACGGTTCCGTTTCTCGTTTGCAAGCTCTCTTTTTCGAACTTGCCTTTCATCCGGTCGTCGTTCCCGCGACGTCGACGGCGGGTTCTGAGAGCTGCGACTCGCGTTTCATCGTGCATACAATCTCATTCATGATCTCGATTAACGATCGAACTTGATCAGGGCGGGCGGGGGTGGGGGGGTGGAAGCATTTCGAAGCTAGTTAATACTATGGACGTGTGGAACTAACGTTGCGGACTGATCGAAACGAAACTGGGACGATTGAATCCGCGAGACCTGAATTGCGAATAAACGAACTCGAGTCTGCATCGACGGAAATAGCTTTTCGTTAAACGTTATTCACGTATTTGTATTTTGCTCTTCATCATTCTTTTTCTTCTTCGTTTTTTTTTTCTAAATATTTTTGTTTCATATCACTCACGAAAGAGCGGCTATCGAAATTGGGAATCGAACTCTCGTGCATCGATTAAAAGCATATAGCCTTTCCTGGACATAATTTTTTCTTTTCTTATCTTTTTTCAGCCGGTCCATCTTTCAACCCGAAACCCAGACCCTTCTCCCTCACATTCGCATGAATCGGTAGCTCTCAACTGCGCCGTCGTCGTCCTTGTGCTGACAGCCGGATCGAGAACGATCCGATTCTATTTATTATTGATAATTATTATATTCGACACGTTCACGATCTCCCTTTTGCAATCTCGAACGTCGTGATTCGGTCGTTATTGTTCATTACGATCAAACGATTCTTGACAGTTCCGAAATTATGTATTCGAATAATCGTAGCCGCGACTTGTAACAAAATTCGCGAAACGAATCACGAGTTTCGGGATCGAGAACGTCGTGAATTGTGATCGCAACAAGTGTTTCCTCGAAAAAGTGTTGAGAGATTTAAGTGAAATTACGAAATAAAGCGACAGTCAAGCCGAGCCAAGCTCTTCGCTCGATACATGTTCTTACCTTTTCTCCAAGTTCATGTCACACACATACACGCGCACACGTCTTCAAAATCCTCCGAAGTATCGTGAACCGTTGTTTAACAATGTTGTTTTCCGGCTTTTTTCGCATCGAAGCTTTCCAGGGGGAACTCGGAACTCGTGCCCCCTCCCCCTTTTTTTACAATGGTCCGAATGTTACGGTTCGTTTCTCGAACTCGTACATTGTTTTTCCAGCCAACGTAGCGCTCGAGTGCCAAATCATTTCTAGAAGTGCGACTGCTCACTCGTAACGCTTAGTCGACCTGTTGATTAACGACAATCAACCACAAGAGCTTTAGCTTCTACTTGTACTTTTTTTCTTTTTTTTTTTTCTTCTTTTTCATTCAGTCATAGTTCCATCATCATGGGAACGCTTACCTTTAGTGCCGCTAGCTATAATTAATAGCTGCCTTTTGCATTTAAGTTGCGCTTCTTTTTATTTAGCATCCTGGACGTGCCCGCGACCAGGTCGTCTGTTCGGAAAGATCCGTTCGTACGACGCGACCGATGCGTTGAACGGGTTTCGATTGAACCGATCATCAGACGCGAAGGATCGCGGGCACGAGCCGTTCAATGTGCTTCTTACTCACCGCTGATTTCTTTGTTTTTTTTTCGTTCTTTCTAACACACCTCTTTCTACCCAACCTATCGTCTACCGTTGTCGAACGCACGCCTTACAATATGTTTTCTGTATTCGTTGGTACAATCTGTTGTATGTTCGCCCGCTTTCGATCGTATATCCCTTACGCCAACTCGATCCTCCTGAATCCTTCTCCTCGGAACGATCCCACGGAACGTCGTCGTCACAGAAGACTCGACGGAAACCTACGAAAAATCCTATTATTACGAGCACGTCGAGGAAACGAAAACCGAGTGCCGTCCTAGTTCAGTGAAATCGAAAAGCCTCGCCTGGCCGCCAGCGAAACCGATCGAGGAGGTCACTTATCCCACCGCCAGTCCCTTGTACATCGATCCGAATCCCACCCTCGACAGACGAGGCCAACAGGCTGTGAAAGAGAAGAAGGCCTGCATCGAGGCCTGCGAACGGGCCCTGACGAAGAAGAGGGCCGAGAGTACGGACCGCGAGGTGGAAAGAGTCACCAGATACTGCGGTCGTTACGACGACGATCCAATGGATCGAGTCAGTTGTCCCGGGCCCATGTACAGGAAGGTCGAGCTGGTGGAGACCAGCGATAGACAGTCGAGAAGCGAGATAACCTCGAGGCCCAGCTCGACCGACAGCGTCAGGAGATCGTTGACGCCCACGAGGATCGTGCAGCCTATACCGAAACCGTGGACAGCCACCGTGACGACAGGCAATAATCTCTACGAGCAAACTTACGGGGGTACGGAGGCGCCTAAAGTCTGCAAGAAGTTCCATCAGAAAGAGATCTGTCAACGGGAACGAATATGCGAGAGGAACCAACCGGTCCGCGAAGAACACCGTTCGTACTCGTCGATGGTCTGTCGTCGCGAACAGACTACAGTTTGTGAGAAACCACCACTACCGACTCAGCACGCAGTGAAACAAGAGGAGAAGGAAGAGTTTACGGAGATCGACAAAGAGGTCACCGACCTGAGACCCGCTGACGAGATCGCAGAGGAGGACAGCGACGAGAAAGGTATCGGAGGGGAACACGACTTCATCACCGAGACCTCGGAGGAAGACGTCGACGGGATGCACGTGAAGAAGACGATGACATTCGAGAAGACCATCGAGAAGATTCCATCCCCCGCGCGACCATGCACTCCCATGATCGAGGAATCGGAGGAAAACTACACCAGGAAAACGACGAAGCATATCGACAGAGAAGTGACGGAATCGTCGGAGGAAAAGACGGTCGTCGAGTCTGCCGAAGTTGTCACCACAGCGGTGGACGTCACGCAGATGTTGGAGAAAGCTAAGCAGGAAGAGGAGGAGAGAAAGAAAGAGGAGGAAGAAGAGGAAAGGAGAAAGCAGGAAGAGGAAGAGAGGAAGAAACGAGAGGAAGAGGAACAAAGAAGAAGAAGACGCGAAGAGGAGCAAGAGGAGGAAGAACAAAACAGCAAACACGTGACCTTCGAGGAAGAGGTAGTCGAAGAAATACGGGAACAGCCATTGGGAAGAACGGTTGTCCGCGAGGAGAAGGTCACGGAAGAAGAGAGCGACACTCCAGGTCGCAAGAAGCTCATCAAGGAAACCTACGAAGAGATCACCGAAGAAGTTCTGGTTCAAGAACGCGTCAGAAAGCTGGGCATCGAAGACGAACGTAGGAAGAGCTTACGGGAGCAGGTAGAAGTCCACCAGAGTTTGAGAGACCAGCAAGCGCCCAGAGAGCGGCGCGTGTGCTCCAAGTATCCCCCGGCGCAGGAAATCATGGAGAGCAACAAGAAACACGTTCAATTCATGAAGCAAACCGATACCGGCCCGAAACCGATACCCCATTCCGCGCTTCAAAACTCCACGCCCAAGGAGTGGAAGTCGGAAATGGTGAACGCCCTTACCACCGCGCCAGATCGACCATTTACGCCTCTCAGCACATCCTCCAGCGTGAAAGAAGTGTACACAGAAGAGACTATATACTTGGACCACAGGTGTAAACCGAAACCGCCACCAAAGGAAGATATTCGACCGATCTCGCCGTTCCAGCAAGCGTTAATGATCGCCCCCGAACGTCCTTATACTCCCCTTAGCAGAGAGATCGGACCTGACGACCAGAAAATTGCGAGTCGTTCCCAAACACCCATGCTTCAAGGTGACAGAGGCAGTTACTGTCCGCCAGCTGACATACTTTACGGCGAAGGCAAGAGGGACACTCGACCACCACCATCCCCTAAACCATGCACCCCTCGACCGTTGCCAACTCCACCTCCCGATTATCGTTTGAGAGACACTTCGGTGTCGCCGATCAGATCTCGACCGCAAACACCGAGCAGCAAATGCATAACAGCGTCCCTGAAGAAACCGGATACCATACCGTGTTATCAGAAAAATCTGGTAGCCATGAGAAAGGGTGCTGTAGAAAGTCACACTTACACACCGAGTAGCAGAACTCCAACACCGACCCCAGGAAGATCCAAGTCTCCCGCCCATGGGCCACCATCGCCTCCTTCTTGCTACGTGAAAGCTCAGGCTCCTAGAATCAGGGAAGATGCTCCACCCAGACGAAATGCCGTGCACTTCCCTACAAAGAAGAACGACGAGAAACAGACCGACGACTCGGACCGAGGACCAACGAACGCGGTTCACGCCCAGTTCCAGGAGAAACGATACATGACCAGCGAAGAAACGAGCGAACAAAAACAGTCGTTGGTGAAACGATCGCTCGAAGTCGTCGAAGACTTCGAAAGGTGCGAAAGAAGAGCTCCGCCGAGGCCTTTACCGGAGCCCCAAGAGAAATCACCGAAGAGTATCTGCGCGATCAGCAAAACGAGCACATCTAAACCTTCACTATCTTGTCCCCTGGTCTCGAAGACTGAGACCAGCTCCGCGCAACCGATTTACAGCAGCTCGACGGAAGTGCGTCACGTCAGCTATGGACCTCCACCTGTATCGAAGTCGTGTCCAGATACTGGGTTAACTGTGTTACCCTGCAAAGCTCATTCGGATCAAGGTACCAAGGCAGGCGTAGTGGTGGTACCTTGCGAGGGACCAAATACCTGCTGTCAGAAGTCAGGAATCTGCGTGGTACCTACCTCCGATCGCTCCGGTGTATGCGTCTCTCCCTGTTTCGGCATGAAGACTGGCGCCTGTGGACAACCCTCGGGACAATGCGGTCGCGAATCCGCCTGCGACTTTGAGATTCCAAAGTGTCCTGATTCTGGTGTCTGTGTGGCACCCTGCGAGGATGGCTCCGTCTGCATAGCACCGTGCACCAAGCCTGGCCTACCTCCATCGAAGACGAAGCTTCCGTTCCCTCAGATTCCTTTCCCGTACGACGATCCAGCCCCTCCATCCTGCCCCCAGAGAAACTCCTTCGAACCAATCAGCAAGCCTCGCACTAACCTGAGTGGGCAGCTCGCGCGACTGACTGCCAAAACTGGCAACAAGGTCCCCACCGTTCAATTGTACAAGCCCCAGGCTCAATGTCAGACACAGCCAGACACGTGTCAGACAACGAAGAGCTGTTGCGAGACCAAAAGTTACTGTTGCAAGTCCCAAAGTTACTGTACCACCGAAACCCGCTGTCAGTCGGGCAGTCAGTGTTCGATAAACACCCGCTGTCAATCCGGGAATCGATGCGTTACCCAGAATAACTGCCAGGACGGTGTCCACTGTTCTCCCTCTAGAAATACCCAAAGTTTAGTAGACCCACCAAATTTGTCATCCCACCCGGATCTAGGTACCGGAGTCGGTGGCCTCGGTGGTGCCGGTTCGAAGAGCGGAACGTTCGCTGGCAGCAGCGCGCCGAAACGTGGAAGGGGAATACTGAATCAGGCGAGTGGACCAGGATCACGTGTGCCACTCTGCGCCCATTGCAACTCTTACGTCAGGTACACTCTCGCCCGTTGCTCATCGGTGTGTGCTCTGTTTTTTTTTTGTTTGTTTGCCTCTGTTTCGTTTTTGTTTTTACGATGCAACGTTGTCCTTTTTGTCCTCTCTTGCCGTTATATTCACCTGGCCAAGTTCACGCTGCCAATTCGGCGGTTCTAGACAATCGCCACGTTCAGAGTCCTCGTGCAGTTGCGGCCCATCTTGTGTGCGCTTTTGGTCCCCGCAGTCTGTTGCCACGAGTCTTTCTCTGGTCACATTGTTTTCCCATACGAATACTTTTAGATAGACACGATCCAACTGTCGGAGAGATATTGAACAATCAAACGATCGAGATCGTCTCCCGATCAAGTGTGGTTCTATGTTGCTTGCTTTTTAGAAGTACTGGCGATCGCTTGCAAGCACGGTACGATCTTATTGGAATACGTATATTGATTTTATACGTCGTTTTTTTTTTGTTTTCACCTAAGCTGAATGTGTAACTGTAACTCATGATTTTGTTCCGACGTGATTAACAGTGTTTACTTTGCACGATGTTAACAGCTAACGGAGAAAATACTAATCACAAGTCGAACGGTCTCATCATAAAACCAGTCTGCTGTAAAAACGACAAACAGTGCATAAGGTTCGTAATTCAGTTGACTTACTGGGGAAATATACACTTAAGTACACGTTCCGAGAGACTCGTTGCTTCTCTATTCAAGTTTCACAATCGGTCATGAAACAATATTCTGCCTTAACTGTCGTTTCTTGTGCTTCGTCCTGCTTCATCGCGTTTCGAACCGCTTTCCTAAACGACCATAACAGTAATCGTTGCGTGTCCTCTAGGGGGCCGTTTATCACCGCGTTGGGACAAATTTGGTGTCCTGAACACTTCGTCTGCGTGAACACGCAATGTCGTCGACCTCTTCAAGATATCGGATTCGTCGAAGAGAAGGGACAGCTTTACTGCGAATACTGTTTCGAACGTTTCATCGCGCCGAACTGCAACAAATGCAACAACAAGATCAAAGGCGTAAGTTGGTCTGAAAAAAATAAAACGATCATCGATCTGTCTGGATATTGTATGTAAGTAATCCACGAGTGTTCTTCTATTTCAGGATTGTCTGAACGCGATTGGAAAGCACTTCCACCCTGAATGCTTCAAATGTTCGTATTGCGGCAAGCTCTTCGGTAACAGCCCCTTCTTCCTCGAAGAGGGATTGCCCTATTGTGAAGCTGGTTGGTTCGATACTCTTTTAATTTCTTATTCCCTCGGTCTTTTGACTTGAACAAAAAAAAAAAAATAAGGTCACGAGCAAACGTGCATTTCTTTCCATTGTTGGCGCAGATTGGAACGAGCTGTTCACGACAAAGTGTTTCGCGTGTGGATTCCCCGTCGAAGCTGGAGATCGCTGGGTAGAGGCCCTGAACAATAATTACCACAGCCAATGTTTCAACTGCACGGTACGCAATTAGTGCGAGAACGCTTCTCGAAATAAACCGATCGATCCAACCTGGAAGAATGTTGAAGAAACGGAACTGTCAATTACCCTCCACAATGTTCTTCCGGTATCGCCACCGACAGTTTCTTCCTCGATATTTTAAACGTTCCCGTCGTGTGTTGTTGCAGATGTGCAAGAAGAATCTCGAGGGCCAGAGTTTCTACGCAAAGGGCGGCCGTCCATTCTGCAAAAATCATGCGCGTTAGACCTTACAACTGTAACCCTGATGCATGGAGAAGCAAAGGAAATTCAGGGCAAGAGGAGGGAGGGGGGAGGGGAAGAAAAATAGGGAAAAGCAGAAAAAAATTGCGAAGAATTCGCGTACCTTAGCTTTACGAGCACAAATTCAATCTGCACGAAGTTATTTTACCGTGATTTTAATCGTATTTCTCTTCTTGTATCATTTCGTGTCGACGACACAGTGTCGGAACAAACGGAACGAGAACAGCCGCGAGCACCGTTGGGTGATGATCATAGAACGATCAACGAAACCGTATTTATTACGAACGAGTATGCTAATGGAACGCGAACTGTAATAAAATCTTATCGATTTGACCGTACCTTCCTTGAACAATGATAAATTCGAAAGGATACACGGTGTGAAACTCCTCGAAGTCGTCAACTCGTCGGTCATCGAATAGAAATAGATAAAAAAAAAGAACAAAAGAAAAGAAACGTGTCCTTCGTACTTCGACGATCGCGATCCGAGGACGCAAAGACGTTCCTCGTATATTATCGTGATCGTTCGCCGCTCGGGACTCAGGATGAATACCATTTTATCGTAATTGTACCGACGGTAACTACGTCCGCCAAAATGGCAATCGACAAGGTCGCAGCCGCGCACGACAGACGCTAAACTTGTACCGGTACAAACTACACTAGTAATTAATTCTGCTCGATAAATGCGACTACGCGCGTGAGCCGCGAGGTATCCAACGGAGAACTCGACTCGAATGTCCATTACGTCGGCGAGGATATTGCCAGGTTTCGCGGTGTGTCGACATTCCACGACTTGTAAAGTATCGACGAAGACGCAGTGCATCTTGAGCGTGTCGCGGCCCAGCTTCCGGTCTCGACGGTCCCGATACCCGGCCCGTAACCGGCGTTTCCGTTTGGCGGACGGGAGTATAGACGCCTCGAATACCTCGTAAAATCGTTGTTGCCGCAGAAAATTCTGCAACGGTACAAGGAACGCGCGCCCGACTTGGTCTCCTGGACGAATCACGCAAAGGTCATCCGAGCAATTAGTATTACTGGCATTATCACATATTTCGTACGCCCCAAGGTACATCCGGAGCGTCGTCACGTAAATGTCGAGCCGTTTCCTTGGGGATCCGGGAGGAATCGACTGCGTGTCTCGAGTCTCCGTGTCGCGTCGGCTAGATATACACACGTATCCTGGATTCGACGTGAAGCAACTAGAACTCCAAAGTGATTTCTTCGGATCCTTTGGTACCAAAGATGATCGATCGGTTGCTCGGGTAATTATGCTTCCCAGAGACGGTTTCCCATACGCTTGGAACTCGTACATCGGGACACCGTCCGAATCGAACATTCGAAATTCAAATTGATATATATATTGCTAGTCAGGTCTTGTTGGTAGCACTAATTGACGGATATACCCAGATTCGCGGTTAGCCGATCGCGTGATTAGACAACGAATACGTTTCATGTCGATTAACGAGGGTTCGCCGGAGACACTTGTTACCGGTATCCGAATCGAGAAGCAAAATCCGGGATCCACGTGCATGCGAATTTCGCCGTAAATCAACGGACGGGGAACGATTCCTACCCCGAATTCGGCCGGTTTGAGATAACAGAGCTCGACTTCTTTCCGTCGTTTAATCGCCCGATCGTTCCAACGCGAGCACGAGCACGAATTTTATATTCGGGGTTTCGATCGAAACGTTCGGAAAACTCGCCGGCGGAATTGTCTCGTTTTCAGGATACACGAGGAAAAGTGGCGAAAGGAACATAAAAAGAAAAAGTGAATCGGCTTCGAGGATCGAGGAACTTGCACTTGATAGCAGTTGCCATATAATTTTAGACAACGTTACCGATTTCTGTGCCATCTGTACGGGCTCGTGTCAGACAGTAGATGTAGTCGAACGCGCTAAGCGAAGCTCGCGATTCGATGGACGATATCGATGTAGAAATTGCGTAATTTAGTACGTAAGATAACCGCGTCGTTCGAAACGAATCCCGTGAATTACGGTGGTATCGGGCACATCCGACGTTCGATGTTCCAAATGGTATCGTTCGTGGACGAAGGACGCGCGATTTGCGATTAATGTTAATTAAATCGACTGCTGGCTGAGTACCACACGAGCCTCTGTATCCGTGTTACGTGTTGCTTACAATAAAATAAAATGTTCATGTAAGTCTTCTTGGTTCCGTGTGTACTTCTTGAACTCTCCTACCCGGTGTGTTGTTTTTCTAGAAATACATAGAAAAAACAAAGACAACTTAATTTCAACAAACAAAAATTCAACCGTAAAGCGAAGAGGGATGCAAGACGAGATATAGAAACGAAGAACGTTTCACAGCGTAAATCGCTGTTGAGTTCCCGAAGGGAAAAGGGTTAGAATCGCGCGAGCAAAGGAAATTCGAGACACGTGAAGACGCGGTCATAAACTGTTTCGACTCTGAGGAGGAAGTAGCGCTCTCCGGCAAAAAGGGACGTTTCATCGATTTGTCATTAAAGTAACCTTGCGGTACCTCCTACCTCCGAAGCCAGACACGCGAGACATTTTTCTGGCGAGTCTTTTTGCAACGTATATACGTCATCGCCGCGGACTTCAATGAACGTGTGCAGCTATTAATACATCCACGAAAATAGATTCCGAGGAACAGCAATTTTTTTTCGTTATTCAATGAACGGACTTTCTCCGCACCCGGATGGATCTTTACGAACAAGGTCGGAAAACGTAGTGGACGTTACTGTTTACAAATGAAAAGTCATTACCCGGCAGACGTTATTAGCGGTGGTAGGTCCGCAGCTTTAACTTGAATGCTAGACACTGATACGCCTCCGCTATATCAGTATTATTAAATACCAACCGCTGGAGAGAGTCGCGTGTCCACGATAACGATCTATAAACGAGTATCCAACCAAATTCTTTCGGAGGCTCCCGAGCGAACAGACTTCCGGTGTCCTCGGTGTGTCGCGGTGTCCACCGAAAGCCCATAAAAGCTGGAAAGCGGCGGGGAATCCAGCACACAGGTAACCTGCGCACCTGCGACCAGGTCAAAGCGATTGCGTAGACCGAAACGTGGCGGTGCACCCAGTGGGAATCGGGATCCCGGCACGTTTGCATGCGGATCCACCCCGAAATATTTGAACATCGACGGCTGTGCTCGACAAAGACGAGAGAATGTCATCGGTTCGTGAAACAATTCGCTGTTGAGGAGTTTCGTGGACGACGAAGACGGTCAACAAGGTACGAGAATGTCCTTTGGCCTGAACATTTCGATACAAAATTATCCAAGGGGAAATTTTCCGTTTAATAAAAGGTGAGCGATTCTGTATTTATAACTTTTTGGTTCAGTGCTCTTTATCGTGAAACTTTTCCCTTTTATGTGACGTTAAACGCAATTTCCTCTTCGTCCACGAAACAAGACTGTATCCAACTGTTTGCCCGTCGAGTCATGTCATGATCTACTAGCCGAATTATCTTCCCGCGTCGCGCCAAACTACGATGTGTCGGCATGGCAGTGAAATACTTGGACGGGCCCTTCGTGTTCAGACTTAACGACAATGGTACAGGACCTCATCTACTTATACAGGTATAACCGAGAAGGGAAGAGAAACTGAGGTTGAAAAAATGCTGCCATGAGACGTTATGTGCTCAATATTAGTGAGGATTTCCAATTTAAAAACTGTGAATCGTGTGACGCGCGCGTTTCACCGAACTCAACGCTCAGACTGGCTGGAAAATGTAATGGGAACCGCGGGAAAATCGGTATCATACATAACTGTCGCGGACACGTCCCGTCGCGCTTTTATCGTCGCTCGGAATTTGTTCGGCACGGTTACAAACTTAGCCGGTACCCTTGAACTGAATACTTTTCAAGGTACGTACGGTGTACATATGTATGTACATACCTGCAGAGTCAAACGGGATGCGACGCGCTTTTGCGTGCACCACTTTTAGAACTGCCGGAGCGCTGCTATTAAGTAAGTGCGACATGCAATAATAAAAGGGCAAAGAATAGAGTCGTCGTAGCGGACCGTAACAATTGCTTCAACTCTTCCTAACTTGCACGAAGCTCCGCTCGACTTTCTTGATAAGAGGATTCACCGGTGGCTTTGCCAAGTCGTAACCCTATTTCGCATTATGCAATCGGTCTCTCTTAGACAATTTCATGTAAACGTTAAATTATTTTACTCAAGTTTAGAATGTTTTACAATGATCCACTTCCTTGAATGTTCAGTAAACTGGATATAACCATGTACCGATTGCAATCGTTAATGCTATTCGATATTAGAAAATTGTTCCTTCTGAAATATTTTCTATTGCTTTGATGCTATATCAATCTCGCGCTTGAAAAATTGGGTTGTCTCTAGAACGTGTTACGCAATTATTCTGCTAACGATTCTAGGTAAAGGGATCAGGCTACTGAGATACCGAAGCATGTCGATCGTTTATAATTAGAGCAGGGCGGGTACCTCGTTTCTAATCGTCTTTATTAAGTTGGAACTTTGTACGAAAGGTCCAAGGTTCGCCGAATATTCGGAGTGTAACGTGAATCAATGTAGATACTATTTCTTTCAGTTCGTACTATGAATAGCGAAACGAAACGATCGAGATTGTGGTAACAGGGTGTAAATGGTGGTGTCTGCGTCTTTTCGCGGCGGATCGATTAGGAAGTTTTAAGAAAATCTTGCACGGCCATTATACATGCTGAATAATAAAAGTGGGCTACCGTAACGATAAAAGGGGATACCGTCGAATTTAATTGCAATTAGGGACCTTGACTTGCTTTTGTTGTATCAAAAACAGCCATTCCTAATGCTCTAATAACACGACAAATAAATCAAGGGCATGCTCCGCTATTTTCGCGTGCTCGCTCGAAACTTTGCAAAACGTGGAATGCGTAATACTTCCGATTTGATCGACGCTTCCGTCTTCGCTTTTCATTCACTGAAAAGTCACGCGTTAAATAGGACAGTTGTTTCTCACCGTCTAATTAAACTCATCGACGAAAGTACAAGAACGCCGCATACTTTTCACAGGTTTGCACGGAACGCGGCTGGAGAGAATACACTGGCGATAATAATGTATTCAAAGATCGATGGAATTTATGGTGGCGGTCCGGTGGTTTCCTTTCGCCTCATTACAGGCCGTTGCCCTGGCAGGTAACAATTCATCCGGTTCCTCTATTCGCCTGAAATTTATTCGACACTTTATACACATGCACGCGTAAACGGATACGTACGCTCGACGTCGCTTCTCGGTAGTAAGTTAACAGAATTACCAATTCCTTAGTTCGTTAATAGAATACCGAAAGGGAGCTCGATCTGCAGAAAGGACAATCTTATTCGGCACTTGAGATGCATGAAGAAGATGCACGGCTCAATCTACGATTTCAGGTACGATCTAGAACACAATCATTTGTAAGCTGGAATGGGTGTTTGATCGTTATCAAAAGTGGAATGCATCGCGTTAGTCCCACAGGATACAACCTGCCGTCGGAATACACGAAGTTCGCGGAGGAATGCAATCGTTGCGAGAAAGACGACAGAGTTTGGATCTGCAAACCAGTCAGTCAGAGTCAGGGCAGAGGAATCTTCCTATTTCGTGTAAGAATTTCATTATCATTACGATGATGTACTTACACGCGGACGGATTTGAATAACGTACACTACGTTTCTCAGAAACTGAGCGATCTCACGTACGATAACACGACAGTGGTGCAAAGGTACATCGAGAACCCCCTTCTAATCGGAGGTTACAAATTCGATCTAAGATTGTACGTGTGCGTACCCTCCTATCGTCCTCTGACGATATATCTGTACAAGGAAGGCTTGGCACGTTTCGCCACGGAGAAATTTTCATTGGAACATTTAAGCGATTCTTTCAGACACCTCACCAACTTCTCTCTGAACAAGTTAGGCCCGGGATACGCGGAGAAAAAGGAGCGTGTCGGTTCCGGTAAAAAAAAAAGAAAGATATGGCTTCTCAGTAAATCTGAAAACAAAAAATAACTGTAAGATGTTGAATTTTAGACTTTACATTGTTGTAGGCTGCAAATGGACTTTCAGACAACTGAGAAGGTATTTCGAGCAAGCTGGTTACTTCGATTGGTTCCTCTGGCAGAGGATTGCTTGTTTAGTGAGTTTGACGATACTGAGCCAAGCAGCGGGTATACAAAGATCTTCTAATTGCTTCGAATTCTTCGGCTTCGACGTGTTGATCGACAAGGATCTGAAACCATGGTTACTAGAGGTCATTAGACACTTCATTATCTTGCACGCGACGAGAGAATACTGTCCCTAACGTAGAGAAATCGGCGTTCCAACAGGTCAATCTCAGCCCAGCTTTGAGCAATGACTGTGAGATCGATTCGGAGGTGAAGAAACCGTTACTGCACGATCTGTTCGATTTACTTGGTCTTCCGGTATGCAACACTGGACTTTCCCTGTTCACAATATGGTCGACAAGTCGCGTCAACGACGAGATCGAAGAGTCTTCCAAGTTTTGTAAGGGTCGAACCACAAAGAAGAAGTCCAGAACCGGTCGGGAAACAGACGGTTTCGTGAATTTATGCACAGATCTGCAACCTACTGTATGTATGAAGATTAGTAGAAATACGAACACCAATTTTGATACATTCGTACAAGCATGTTTAACGTAAGAATTTTAAACCCCAGCTTAGACAATCAACTCTACACGATTGTTCGAACTCGTGGTCCCGTTACAATCCTTTGTTAGTGGACAAGTACATTCCCCGCGGTTTTCGAGGCACCAATCCAGAGAATCACGATAAAACATCGATATGGGACAATGGAAAAGACTGGAATACGCCGTGTGTGAAAGAGGGTGGATGGGTCCGCATTTATCCGCTGACTCGAGCGCAGCCTGACGACAACGCGGAGTACGTGTCACCCTCGGTTCCTGAATCATCAAGAATCGTAGAGAAAGAAGTTAGAAGCACAGTTCTTTGTATACAGAAGTACTGATCCTTAATAACTGCATGTTGTTGAGAACAACATGCAACAGTTTAATTACCTGCTAATATTTCTCCCAGGTATCTAAAAGCTGCCAAAGGAGTACACAAGAAGTCCGAAAAATGCAGAGACGAACAATGTAATGCTATGCTTCGGAAAGCGCTGGAATTGAATACAGAAATATGGCTGCCAGCAAAGTAATTAAATTAGTCAGAGGATGTTCTTTAGTTGTTCTGTCTGTTTAAAGCGACATTTCGCATAGTACGCCTGAATAATTACGAATGCGATATAAGCGAATCGTGATATTTAGACCAATGCATTTAATTTACTACTACGTCGATATTTCAACAGCCAATCATTAATAATGTTAATAGTACTCAGTAATTACGCTAAATATTTTCGATTCTTTATATATTCCAAATGCGTATCCTATGTAAAGGTAATAGGACGATGGTGGAAATCTCATATTTTATTCACCAAGACGTTCTCGGTTTATTGAATGTTTTCTTGAAAATTTACATTAATTCACTCCTTTCGCTGCTAACCTCTTGTCGCGCTCTTCATCAGTGGAACTGAAAGTGTATCTGTTTCCTAAATGGGTAATACTGAAAAGCCTATGCGAAAGCAATCAGTGACCAATATTAAGGAATTTCATTTTGGCCAACTTTTGACTACAATATTTATTATGCCTTATCGTAGCTTCGATTATGACCGGTATAGAAACAACTTCAACCTCTTTTGCAAAATTTTAAATCTGGAATATGTGTAAACTGTTATATGAACAATAAAACTGTACCTTGTTGCAAAAGTATGCCCTTGCGAATCTCTAATATGGCAAATATCAAAGGATCCAGGGTGACGCTCGCGACTGACGACCGTACCGACACGTCCTAAATTTCTTCCGCCAGTAATCATACAGAGATTAGCTATGTAAAGAAAAAATGTTTAAATGTATTGCACTTTTTACAGGCGTGTATGGCAAATAAATGACGCGTATAAGAAAAAATATTATACTTGAATCAAATTTGATAAAGTCCAAAATTTTGCCAGTGGCAATGTCCAAATAAACGGTATCATTAACCTTGATAGCTGGGTCTGGGTAACGAATGGTTCTACCGTCATGAGTCACCAAGAATGGAATACCTTTAGGACCAGTCTGAACACGTTTTACCTTACACAGCTTGTACTACAACAGACAATACATTAATGTTCGACAGTAACAATAATATATCTCTTGATTAAGTTTTACTTGTATTATTGAATCAGTAACAAATACCTTTGCTTCTCCTGCTGTGATTCTGTGAGTAGTAAATCGTCCCTTAACATCATAGATCAATCGGAAGAATTCACCAGTCTTCTTGATAGTAATAACGTCTAAAACGAATAATAAAAAATAATGTTATTTCTAGTACCTATAGCTCCAAAATTTGTAAGAAATAACATAAAACAATGTACACTTTCTGGGTAATACAGAAGGAATACACTACTCAATCTGTGACCAAAGGAAAGAATGGTTTTTGTTTACTATTGGCCAAGTTTTGACTACAGTGCCTTTCTTAAAAGATACCACAGCTTCGATATGGCCCTACAATTCTTGAATAACTTTACTGATATAACTGTAATAGGTTTTATTAAACGTGCTATTCACTTACCCATAAAACCTGCAGGATAATTGGGATCTGTACGGACTTTGCCATCGACTCTAATCAGACGTTGCATCATAATTTTTGTTACTTCACAATTAGTCAAGGCATACTTCAATCTATTACGGAGGAAAATAACAAGAGGAAGAGATTCCCTGAGCTTGTGAGGTCCGGTAGACGGGCGCGGAGCATACACACCCCCCAATTTGTCCAACATCCATGCTTTAGGCGCATTAAGACGCTTCAAGTGTTTCTTCGGACCTCGAGCCTAAAAATTAGTTCAAAATTTTCACTGCTAATGCTCACAAAATGCAATAAAACTTTCGTAAAATGTACACAACGATAAAAATTTTAATCCATTTTAAGATGCCGCACTATGATTCGGCCATGATACTTTTTACACCATTTTCTTTTTATTTAATCAGTTATTAACCGTTTTTAAGGAAAAATATTGTTATAATTTCCATAACATCAGACGTCTGTTTCTGTACACGAATTATGTCAACAAAGATCCGTTGGAAAGTTAACCGTTCTCACAGAACTTAACCGTACTTTTTCCACACAAAAATATGAAGATTTAAAGAATCATATATGCAATAATATTTACTTCAATCCTTGTAGTTTACATTTCAATTGAGTGTTAAACGATATAATACATAAAATATCCGATGCAAACAGATTTTATATTGTCAACGCATGACGAACTTACCATCTTGGTTTTCTGAACGGAAAAGGCACCAACTCGCGCTGTTTCTCAGCTCATCAGGAAGTTCCTTATAACGCCACTGCAGTCAAAATGGCGGTTGAGTATTGTCAACCGTTCATATTAACTTGAATGTCGTATATTATTTTAAATTAACTATAAAATTTTATGTGTTTAAAATAACATTAATTATAATATTGTGTATATTACACACAAATAAACGATAACAATGGTTACAGAAAATTATGATAAACTTTGTAAGATCTATATGTACGTACTCAGTTTCAAATAATTGTAACAGTAACATATAAATATGTATTAAAGAAATAATTGTTATGTAATAAGGATACAACAAAAATAATTGGTAATATATAATTTTTTAATTAAAATATATTTTAAAAGTAGTGTAAAATTTTAGTATAAACTTAAACAGATGTTTGAATCAAACAACACTGAGTATTGTTTATATGGAGATAATATTATTGTGATTGTATTGTTGCAACTATATTATCTAACAAACTAGATGCACCAATTCTAAATAAATCTTTTGTTAACCATTCATCCCCCAATTCCATTTGAACTAACATCATCCATTCTAAGGCTTCTTGTGCAGTTTTAATTCCTCCAGCTGGCTTGAAACCCACCTGAAGGTGATACAAGTTATTAATAAAATTTTCCAAAAATTCAAGAATTAACATGGCATTTATCACTTTTTATTTAAAAATAATTTTTATACCTTCTTTTGTGTTACTGCATAATAATCCTTAATTGCAAGACACATAACTATTCCAACAGGTAAAGTAGCATTTATTGTCTCTTTTCCAGTTGATGTTTTAATGAAGTTAGCTCCAGCCATCATTGCTATCATAGATGCTTTATACACATTCTCCAAATTTTTCAATTCTCCTGTAGCAAGTATGACTTTTAAACATACTTTTTTATTACAAATGGTACCAAATAATTTTAATTCCTCGTATAATTCTTTCCATTGATGCATCACAGCTAATGATCGATTAATCACAATATCAATTTCATCAGCACCATTTTCAATGCCTATTTCTACTTCTTTGATACGTGTCTCCAATGGAAATTGTCCAGATGGAAATCCTCCACCAACTACATATAAAGTGACAATCTCTTATTATAATCTGATTAAAATAGCATTACGGAATAAATCTATTACTGACCAGTAGCTATAGCAACTTTATGGTCTTTATCAAGCTCTGCTAATGAAGCCACAGCATCTGGCAGTCTCAAAGGATAAACACATACAGCTGCAGTATGTAAAGATTTTGTGGACTCACCAAGAGGATTTATAGCCTGTAATTATTTGTTCATTTGGTAATTCAATCATGTGTAAATGTGAACTAATTCAACACAAGAAGTATGTTAAACTGTCCCAATTGTAGATACAACTACACTATAGTTACCTTTACACAGACAGCTTTAACTTTAATAGGCGTATCATCCCCTCCTAATGTAGTTAAGTCTATAAAGCCTATTGCTTTCATCAACCAAGTTATTTTAGTATCTTTTTCCAGTGTATCAACTTTAGAACATATTGAACAAACTTTTTCATCAATCATTGATTGGTCAAAGTTCATTATAGCTAAAACAGAAGTGTTTAAACATTGATATTTGAAACATTAATTTAAGTATTAATTAATTCTAAATTTATAACGAAGTGTTTACAATATTGGATATAGAAAATTAAATTGCATACCATTGACCACTTCTTGGACATCCATTCTAACAAAGTAAATTAGCTGTGTTATTAAGTTCAAAAAAAATATTTTGTTACACCACCATTATTACTTGAAGCAACGGAAGTGCGAAAAAATTACACAAAATGGAAAGGAATCGTAAGTGAGTGTGCCGAAAATTCGTGAAGAACATGGTTAAAAATAAGTAACGATACCGTAATCGTTCCTGATTTGTAAATTATTTGTACACGAAGATGACGCGAAGCAGTAAGCTTTGTATGTATCGCGTATTCTTTTACACGTACACGCAACACAACGAAACAATCAAATGATAAAGATAAGGTGATTCGAATATGGTGAATGCTGGTTAGAAATTTATCTATAGATAAGCAAAATCGATTTTATATGTTTCATGAGTTAATAAATACTTCTTTATTGATATAAAGGTCAATATTAAAATAAATAAATAACAGTATAAATACTTTAAATTGTTCAAAACATTTTGTATAAATTTCAAGTACCACACATGAATAAATTTAATAACTTTTCATATCCAAACAATACTCTGTTAAGAAAATTGTACGAAGAACTTAGACTTTATTGACTTAGATGAACATACTAGTAAAAAATACTATTGAAATTTGTCTTAATTTGAATCATTATTATCTATGATGTTGCCACTGTTCCCAATATTGTGCGGTTTGCATTTCTGCAAGCCGTGATACAGTTCTATCAAACGCAAAAAGTTCTTCTTCTCCGGTAAAAAGATTAGATTTGTGATCATCCTATAAATATCAAATTATAATACAATATGTCACCATTTAAAAAATGAAACTGAAGTCATTTAACTTACAGAACCATGTGATATTTTTAAGTCGTCCATAAGCATTCTTTTATCATCGGTATATTCAGTATCACCTTCCGGTACAAAAAGTTTTGTATGAGGTACAGCTGCAGATATAACAACTCTTACCTAAAAGATTTATTTAATTACATAACAAATTTCTGTGATTACTTATACTTATTTATTAAAGTTAACAGTAAATCTCACCTTATTGTCATACAGTGTATCAATTAATGTAATAAATCTTCTAGTTTGAGATTTAAGCCTGAAGTCTAATTGAGGTACATCTCTTATAATAACTGTGTGAAATACTTGACTTAGTTCTAGATAATCACTAGCACCAAGCGGCTAGAAATAAATGAATCCATATATAAAGAGAAATAATACATCATTAAAGATAAAGAAGACAGTAAAAGAACCTACTCTGTCGCAAAGCTCCTCAAAACTGGAATCCAATACCTGACCACAAGTTCTATGAAAAGTAACATTACGTCCTCTTATACAGATAGTACGGGATCTCATGATATCATTTTCCTTTGAGCATAAGTATTTAAAGACTTTGTCTACATCATTTACCGCATCTTTCCCTTTACTATGAAAATCGTATAATGTATTTCTTATGAACAAATATTCTATCGTATAATTTGTTAATGAACAAATTTACATACATAAAATAAATCTTTTCATCGCTGAGTCCAGTTTGCAATCTATAATCTATACCTGAATCTAACGAATTTATAATGCAATAATTTTTTAGTATCTGTATAAATGGAAGAAAATTTCCCCTTTGCAATCCATTCTTGTATAGATCATCAGGTGCTCTATTACTGGTTGCAATTACTATTACACCATTGTTAAAAAGTTCAGTGAATAATCGTTTCAATATCATTGCATCTGCAATATCAGTTACCTATAGCATACATATTTCTATTAACACATGTCATTCTGAATCCTCTATATGCAATTATATGCTCCATGGTTAAACCTGAAATTCATCAAAACAGAGCAGCCATGCTTCTTCAGTGATGCTTTTTGCAACTGGTGGTATTGGATCAAATGGCTGCAGCTTTGTACTGCTAACATCTCTTACGAAAGTTTTCTTCACCTGATGCACTCTATCGTGTACACTTGCCATGAAAGAATGAAAATGAACTCTTTTTTTGTTTCCAATCTAGAGTAACACATTTCAAGATAATTATTTCTTGTTTGTTAGTTTGAATATTCCTTTTTATATTGTACTGCATATGGAAAGCCACTATATAATACCTTCATCATGGATTAAGAGTTTTCTTTATATCATTTCCTTTGATATATAAAGTAAACCCTTTGTTGCACAGAATATTCTATTACTTGTCTGAATTATTCTGAAAAATATTATGAATTGTCATATCAATAAGAAAAAAAAATAAAGAATACAATTTGGCTCCCCATTTGCATTACTTACAGGAACTATAAAATAAGATACCTGGCAGCAATCATGAAAAAGATCCATCAACATTGTTTTACCTCCACCTACTGCCCCATAAAGATACAAGCCTTTTGGTGGCTGCTTCCTCTTTTTACCGAGCCATTTATTTATCAAACTAGATTCTTCTGGTTTGTAATCACTGATTTGTTCGTAAATACCTTGTAAAGTATCAGCAACTTTCATCTGATGATCATCTTTCATTAATTCTCCCCTTGCTATTTTATTATTTAGAGCAGCAATTGGTCCTTTCTTGTCTATGGTGATATCATGAACATATCCATAATTTTGAATAAAAACCACAGACTGACATCGTAGCAGTGAATTTGACAGATAGCCATACTTAGGAAATTTCTTTGGGAGTAAGCACGTCATTCTGTATAAGACAAAACGTCCTAATAGAAAAAGGTCATTGTTTGTTACTTATACACTAGTTACTCACGTGTTATTAATTGCTCAATGATAAAAGTATGCACACTCTTACAGACAAATATTTTACGAATATACGTTCAATTTGAAAAACTGAATAAAATTAATTAATGCATTCAAAGATCCGAATAAATATGCTATTACAAAGTAACATATTCAATCAAAGTTACGTTTGACAAATAATCATGTAACGCGCGTTAACCTTTATATTACGTGCGAAATATATGTATCTACCTTAGAATAGAACACACGCACCAGAAAATTTAGAAAGGTGGGTGTAAAGCATAATTTCTAGGTATGATAAGTCAAATAATCGGGGCTAAGTATTTAAAATCATAGTGTATAAAATTTTCTCTCAGAATTTACATTAGTGAGATATAATTAATTTATGTAGAATATTCTGATAATAACGAACAGAAATTTAGAACGACTCAGAAAGTAGCTTTTGAAATTTTCATTGATCGCGCGCTACAGTATGACGTAACAAAAAAAATTGTTGAGACGTCCATCTATCTTATAGTACAATCATTGACATATATAATAGATGCGCGGTTTTATGGTAGGTCCAAAGGCAAGACCGAAAGGACAGAAGTAGCGCTGGAGTAACTCTCTCTTGCTCATACATCGCAGAGGGTGGACAGAAAGCGACTGCAGGGAGATCAGGAGAAGGGATACTGCAGGATATTGCATGCATGCAAAATTGCATTGCAAATGCAATGCCTCCACATAGCCGTAGGAGAATCCCCCACCAACAGCCCCATTGTCCTCTCTCTCTTGTGTCGTATTCAGCCCTCTCACACTTTTATTCTGTATTATTACATATAAGTGAGTAATATTTATCAAAAAAAGCAATCGAAACACAAGTTTTTATTGCACCACGAATTGTTTAAAAAATAAAGGCCCACTTATAGGTCTTCTTATTTAAAATAATTATATTTAATAAATCATTTACTACAAATGTACACATTAAAGATATGAGAAATTAACAAATAAAACATCCATTAATGTAATATAAAATTGAAGGATTTTAAAATTATTTAGTCATTATGATAAATTTTTGTACTATATGATGGATTGTACATTGGTAGTCTTCGTTTATCAGGACTAATTCCTTCTTTTGAGGAATAATAGCGTCTTTCAATGACTTTATCAAAAAATCTACTCAATTTTACAGATGAACTAGAACCAGCAGCTAATGATCTCACTTGACGAGAATCCTGTAAAATGAGTTTTTAAACAAGTTTTTAAACTGAGTTTTTAAGTGAAACTGCAAATGACCTACCAAAAATATTTCATCAGCACCACATTCTTCTGCAATAGTTGAAGAACGTCTGTGAACACTTGATCTCACTTCAGCAACTAAGTCTAACTTTGTACCAATAACTAAAATTGGTATCTATAAAGAAACATTTGATTCAGATGAAGTAATACAATTAACATGATGTCATTGAATTATCAGTAAACTGCAGATCTTAATGTAAATATATACTTTTAGAAATGAGTTCACAAAATTGGAAAAGAAGAATGTATGTCTTTTGTTAAAGGTTTCTATTATATTTTGTTCTATATACTTGCATATACTATGAAAGCATAAAATCCATAGTCTATGATGAGAAGTTTATATTACCTGAGTAGAGCCCACAAATTTTTCAGGATCAAAATCATCAAATGGTTTTGACTTCATGTAATTACTATCTTTACTTAATACTTCCTCAAGCCATTTCTGAAGATTCTGCTGTGATTTTCTATTTGTTAAATCATGGACCAATATTATGCCTACATTAGTAATAGCAATATGTAATTATTAGGTTTTTGAAACACATTCACAGTGTTCTTTAAACATTTTGAGTTTATACCATTTGTAGGATTATAAAAAACAGATCTTGTGTTTTTATGATTTTGACTACCACCAATGTCCCATAATTCAATGAAATATCGCCTTTGATTTGGGGTTCTTTCTTTGTATTCATGTAATTTAACTTCTACTGAACAACCTATGGTCCATGAAGGGTTACTGATAGGCTGCTGCTGACATATTAGATGTGTTAGGGATGTTTTTCCAACACCTACAAATATAAAATATTATACTATTTCTATAACCTACAGACCTTGTAAGAAAAATGTGTAAAGGAAGCAAAACATAGTATCCAATTCAAATTAGACAACAAAATTGTTCTAGAATAATATACGTTAGGCTTAAAGACAATATATTTAATGCTGTAATTGTCAAAATGTAAATAACAGTACTAATAAATATATCAAAGACAGTGAAATTGTTTCAATCACATTCTTACCGGAATCGCCAACAACGATAATTTTAACTTTATCAATCGCTGCCATCAAGAGTCTTTATTAAACCATCTAAAGATACACTCGTTTTACAGTTTTACCGGTCTTACCGTTTGACAGGTATGTATATAATCATTTGGGAATTTGGATCCTGAATACATAACCTATTTATATGTACTTACAGAAGTAACATGAAGTTACAGGTTACAGTAGTTATAAACAAGCGTCTATCAGAACGGTATTTCATCGTTCTTGATCGATCGACATAAATATGAATTTTGTGTTTTTATTTTTTATTTCTTTTATGAGGACGCATGTTTAGTATTATAATATATATTTTATTTTACTTCTGTTAACCCTCTTTCAGATATTTTCTTATAAAGATACTATTTATGAGACTTTAAAGGTTAGTACATGTAATCACAAATTGAATTTAATACATTAATGGTATATTTTTATTATGAGAATAAACAGTTTTAAATAATAGTTCATAACTTACACGTCCTTTGTAATTTTCAGTAACATTAATGATATTTCATTATATCTAATCACAAGAAAAATGAGTAGCGAAGAAAGACTTGTTACAGAAGTTCCAAGCAGTTTAAAACAATTAGCACGTTTAGTAGTACGTGGATTTTATACTATAGAAGATGCTTTAATTGTTGATATGTTAGTTAGAAATCCGTGTAAGTATAATAAGTATAACACAAAATGTTAAATATAAGAGAGCATATGTGGGATTGTATGTTAATTACTAAAACTCTATATTTTATATAACCAGGTATGAAAGAAGATGACATTTGTGAACTTCTAAAATTTGAACGTAAAATGTTGAGAGCTAGAATATCTACATTGCGTAATGACAAGTTCATACAAGTGAGATTAAAAATGGAAACAGGTTCAGATGGGAAAGCACAAAAAGTCAACTATTATTTTATTAATTATAAGGTAAACTTTAAATAAGGTATGCTATTATCATTATTTTTCTATTAAGGAAATTAATCTATATATTTCTACTATAGACTTTTGTAAATGTGGTAAAATATAAGTTAGACTTAATGAGGAAAAGAATGGAAACAGAGGAGCGAGATGCTACCAGTAGGGCAAGTTTTAAATGTACAAATTGTTTAAAAACATTTACTGATCTTGAGGTAAGTAAATTATGTTTGAATTTTAAGGTGTTTTGCATATATAAAGAAAAGTAAATAGAAAATATTTATTAACATAATATAATGTAGGCAGACCAATTATTTGATATGACCACTGGTGAATTTAGATGTACCTATTGTCGTGAGGTAGTAGAGGAAGATCAGTCTGCCCTTCCAAAGAAAGATTCAAGGCTGTTGTTAGCCAAATTTAACGAACAATTAGAACCTCTTTATATTTTATTAAGGGAAGTAGAAGGTATCAAATTGGCTCCTGAAATATTAGAACCAGAACCAGTTGATATAAATACCATCAAGGGGTATGTATCCTTTTAATTAAGTGATTGAAGTTTGTAAAAATATTGTGGATCATATTTATCACTTTTTCTAGTATTGATACAAGAAAACCAAGTAGTCTACGAGCGCCTGGTGAACAGTGGTCTGGTGAAGCTACAAGATCATCAGGCTTCATGGTAGAAGATACCAGAGTAGATGTTACAATCGGTGATGAATCCGCCGACGATAACGCGGCAAATAAAAGAAAGGAAAGACCAATTTGGATGATGGAAAGTACAGTCATCAACTCTGACTCACAGGTACACATGTAACTCCTTTAATAGTTTGGTCTGTTAGTAAAACTTGTTACTAATTACTTTTATCGTTAGCCCGATGGAGTTAGCACGCAAGAGAATATTTTGGATAAAGCTGCAGCCAATGCCACTAATACAACGACGACGAATAATAAACAGGGTGAAGATATTATGTCTGTATTGTTGGCTCATGAAAAGAAGGGGGGAACTAATGCTGCAGCTGCTATAAAGTCTGTACTACCTCAAGAATCTAGTGATAGTAGTGATAACGAAGAAGTTGCTGAAATGCAGACGATTGATACAGGTATGCTTTTCAAGTATTTTAAATGTATTTTTTTTTATAAAGAAATTCATATATTTTCATGTATTGTTTAGGAGAAGTGGAAACAATGGATTCTGAAGATGACGATCTTGTACCAACAGTAACTGTTGCAGGAAAAACTGTTGCTATTGCAGATGTGAACGATACATTAATTGCAGAGATGACACCAGTGGAAAAGGAAGCGTATATTCAGGCATATCAAGAATACTATTCTCATATGTATGACTAAACTCAAGACTGAATAATTATTGAAATTCTTGTAATATTTTGTATAGTCATAAAATAAATAATTTTCTGGGTTTGGTAAGAATTGATAATCTTTTAACTTGAAAAATCATATATGCCAGTATTAATACCAAAAGTAAACGTAAATAAATTCAAATAGCCGTATTTTACAATGTTTATATTGTTGTTCTAACATATAGATTATAACTCAACAATGGCATCAGTTTGTAATAAATGAACATTTACAGACACGTTATAATCATAATAAACCAAAATTAGTAGCATACATGTCACTTCTGGTAAAACGGGAAAGTTTTAAACTTAGCCAAATATAAAGTATTTATTAAGCTTACTTGGAATTATTTTTTTTGTTTGTCTTTATGCCAATTTCTAACCGACCACCACCATCGGATAGAAATTTTAAGACAATATACATTTTTTTACGACACTTTCCGCTTTTTTTGTATTTCTGTCACATTTTCTCTTAGATTAATATTTATTTACTTCCATGTGTCGCTGCGCACATTTATCGATATTGTAATCTTTTTACTTTCTGTACCTTCTTCCGTTAATTCTTCAATATAATTTACATCAAAAGAATCGTAGAAATGATGAATCCTACATATATACATTATGTTGTATTTTTACTACTTAATACAATTCTATTGCATTCAGAAATAAATATAAAGTATAATAAATCTATGATTCTTTTGACGTAAATAATTTCCTCCTTGAAGATGGTTTATTCCGGTTCATTCAGACGCAGACGAGCAAAATCTTCGAATACGATATTATCATCATCGTCGTTAGAATAACAAGAGTTCTCATAGCGTGTTCTGTCTACACTCTTGTTTTTCTTCAAAGTAGCCCGCTCTTTTTCTGCAGCTCCTAATGCAAGAAAGTATAGGACATGTTCATAATATATGTCCTAAAATTAGTTTTATTATTATCATTATTAAAATATGCTTACCTGGAGCAGGATGCATCAACTTAAATGGAACGTCCGTAACCAATTCACCACCTAAAGTGCCGCAGTTCAACTTCACTCTCACAGAGTAAGAGATAACAATACCCATAGCATCACTCGGAGTTTTACCATCAGCAACCATAGTTGAAGATGCAAGATTGACATCATCATCCTAAATATATAAAACATACAATGAATACAGCATAAGTAACAAGGAATATATTTTTAATAATGGGACTCTGTCTTTACTTTTAGATGTCCGTCAAGAGCAATGCCACGTCGATCCTTGTTGCTGCTGGCCAATGGTACAAGGTAAAACTGCTTTGTAAAAGATGCACCGGGTGTAATTGGACAACCTTCACGTGTTTCTAAACTAGCCACATGTCGAGAGAATTGAGTATTGACCATTGTCACCTCGCAGTGCTGTGCTACAAACAGCTGAACAATATAAAATCTTAATACATAATACAAAATATAATTCTGACATTACTTTAAATAGTTCAAGCACCTTAATATTTTTCACTGCTTTCCGAGAGTTGTTGGTAACTATAACGTTCGCAGCTACTTTTTCACCATGATAGTAAATTTCCCTGTCAAGTGTAACTTCAAGATTTAATTTGCCCTGAGAAAAGGTAAATCCTTTGGAGACTAGAGAGCTAGGTAGTTTACGTCCCCTTGTAGGTGGAGCATATTGCAATTTTTTTATTGCCAATGCTACAGACGACCTTTTGTGGCCCTATAAATTGGAGTTCATGTTCAATATAATCAAGAAATGATAAATTTTAATCGCTACATTACCTTGTCTTCTTCGTGTTCACCCACGTATATCCTGATAGTATATTCAACTCCCAATGGTTTTCCTTGATCATCATCTCCGGGTTGTAGTGTAACAGAACTGGGGGAGTTCTGTGGGAACTGGAATAAGAAAGGATATGCGTTTTCTCCGAGCCTCTTTAGAAGACGTTCTTGGACGGGTGTCATATCCTGTTTTTCTTTCTTCATTGGCACTATCTGCTCGCGACATATGACAAGTTCCTTGCTGAATTTGACACCCATGACCTCGTCTTCTTCGCGGCCATAGCGGAATGTAGTTGTCACCTAAATAATATATTTTGTAAATACACCGTTTTAAGTATTAGTTTTATATCAGAAATATATTTCCTCTACCTGTCCATAAACCTTTCGTCCCTGAAGATAATCATTTTCAATAACAACAATGCCATCAATAGGGTCTACACTTTCCAGGTGATCAATGAAGTCCCTTTTACCAAGGTAAACCGTGACCTTCCCTATAATTAGTAAAAAGCCATAGTGTTTTAAAATGATGAGTAAACGTTTTACATATGTACTTCTATATTTATATTTTAACTAATGTATTCTACCACATACCATTTGGAGTAGTCTTCTTGTATACCTTGATGGCTACGACGTACGCCAAAATCAGGAAAGGAAGCATTTGGCACTTTTTTCCAATCAAATGAATTAGCAGAAGTTGTTTCCCGCCCAGAAGTGACAGTCTCTTAGCACGAACAGGAAACTTCATATAGTCTCGGAAGGGCTTCTTTACTTGAAGCCATACCACTAATAGCATTATTTTATTATTCGAGTCAAATAATGGGATTAGATCGCACATGTAAGTTTTTTGTTACGTGCATTCTGGAACTGACTCAGTAGCTCATGCACTTTCAACCAAGAAGGTGACCAGATTGGAAAGTAGTGCAAGATTTTGTTTGTACCCTTTTTTAGTGCATGGACCACCACTTTGTAAATACCTATTAGAATAAGTACTCAGATCATTGAATACTAAAGTTAGTTAAACTGTTTTAATTTGTTTACACCGACATGGATCTACATATAGGAGGTCAATATAAAGAAGTACACGTGATCAGTCTTAGACTTATATTTATTTCGATAATAAGTGCTTACATAACATAATATGGAGGTATTTTAATTGAAATCAAATCCCCTGAATGACTGAGTAATCACTTCGCTGTATTTTTCACAATGTTTCTTAATGGTAAATAATACCTATTGTTCCTCAAGTAGGTATTATGTATCATTAATAACTAAAACCACTTGTATTTCTTTCTTCTTTCACATTCAGTAGTAAATAAACACTTGGTATATTATGTACACACTATTGTGCAGACACTGTTCAATTAATGTGTTCCCAAATCATTCTGGTAACTGTAAAACACTTTTTTTTATGAATGAATACGGCAATTTAATGCCCTTCTTCACATGAAATTTGATAAATGGAGACAATTGATTTTTCAATGTATTGTTCCTTAACTAGTAATAACACAAATTTGTATTGTGCTGATAACTCCTTCAGATTAATGTTTCTTGGTGCTTAACACTTTTTCGATATGAATAATTCCATACAATAACAAAAAATGCATGCAGCAACCAAGAAAACCTCATTCAAATTAATTATAGCTTATCTTGACTTTTTAAGCACAAAAACAGGGAAGACCAAAATAAACGCAGGAAAATGAGGTTCAATACAAAAACGAATTGCTATAAACTAAACAATTTTAAGGTCAATAACAATAGGTAATATATACTAGAATTATCGCGATAAATATGTCTAATAATAGGCACAGTTAAAGTATAGGTATATATATTCATTATTTACTGTTTTATTATGCTATAGAAAGTCGTTGCTACCAGGGAACAGAAACATTTGCGAAATTTTATGAAATCTTTATTTCAAATACTTGTTTTTGACAATACGTTCGTACAATGCTATAGACTATACGTTTCTTCGATTTCCTTACAAATCTTCGTATTTGTATTTTAAATAGAATGTTTTAGTAAGAAACAAGTTTGCAATACATAGGCAAGTTGAACTAAATATAATTTTCTTAAGACAAATAAATGATACACTTGAAATAGTTTTCGAGATTTTAAAAACCAGTTGTTCGACCTTTAGAGAAAGGGACAGAATGGTTATTTGAACTTACTTAAATATTTTTGATAGCTAATTCTGTAAAATATATATGTTATTCAAGTTCGAACACATCCATTTTTCAGGGAATGTTGCTCATAGTAGTAATTTATACATGCAGTAAATCATACACACAAAATAAAAAAAAAACATTTCATTATCATCGAAATAAAGTTATCTAAATACAAAGAATATACTCGTGTTATATGTTTTTAAAAATAAAGTATAAGTAAAACTCCATGAAAACAACTTTCCCCTACAGATGGTTCCATAATCTCTCCTTGTATGCACAGTATTTTCTGTCAAAGACTACAAGGTACAGTTTCATATTTTTGCATTACAAGAGTATTTGTTATTGCATATATTTGAGCAATATCTAATACAATGTACCATTAAATCAACAAAGAGTGTTTCATGTTATTATTAGATAGTTTGCATCACTCATTGTTATGTGTACTAAACACATTTTTACCTAGTTTCAATCAATTATGTTATGTGTACTAAACACATTTTTACCTAGTTTCAATCAATTATGTGATGTTACAGAACCCTGTGCAAGTCAAAGACGTTTCTTGGCTCATGACTTCAAGCATAGTTATGCACTGTGTGTAATTTCTATATGTATTAACATTTGTACATAACTAGAATCTCGGTACAGTTCCCTGATACCAGCGCATTTCTAACATCAGCCAGTACAAATATTGTTAGTTCATGTAAATTCAATAGCATACACTGTAGATTTTTGTAGTATGATTGCTGTTGCTGCAAACCTACCAAACTTACATTACTAATTTTTTTTTTCATTTTTACCAGATTTTTTTTTTAGATGTAAATCATAGTATGAATTTTCTTAAAGACATTTTCTTGAACGAGGTGGTGCTGCATACCTCGACTTAAACTTCAAGCAAATTTGTCTCACACAGTAGAAATCTATAATAATAAGAAAACTAATGTAATTACTTAATACAAATGAAATTAAACAATGCTGCATATGTATATCTCACCTAATATTCTTTCACAGAAACATGTTCTTATAAATAAGAATCTTGTTTTAGGATAGATCTAAAACATGAAAATTGTAAAAATGAAATATTTTGAATAATATGTGCAGAAATTTATTCATGCTTTTTTCACTTGATTACTTACAACTTGGCGCAGCTGCAGATTCAAATCTCTTTTGTATCTGATCATAGGTGAATTTGACAAAAGCATCATATTGCTCAGAGAGCTTCATATTTAGAATCTGATCATATTCTTCTCGAATTTGTGTTTCTTGTTCCTTAAGCATTCGCTCACAAATCAAACCAACCTTAAAAATGTATAAAGTAATAAATGTGTCTTGTGTTCATTTGTCTTAATAATTAATAGGTTGTTATGTACCTGTCTGAATGTGAATAAGGGTTTCTCCTTTCCACTAGGACTATAACTATATGAATTTGAACCACATGCAGATGGGCTTGAAGGACTAGCAGGACCTTCCATGTCTGAAGAATCACCACTATTGTTTTGAGGACTAAAATGCAATTGTTTGCGTCGATGCAATTTCCGAATTTCTTCTCTTATATTTGCAGCCATTTTTTCTGTATATAAAGAAAATCAAACACTGTACTCTGTATATTGTCATAGCTGCTTATTTAAATGATGTGGATTCCACAAGTCTCTTAACTAATACAATATCTCAAAGTTAAATATCATAATATGTATAAATATCTGAATATTATGAACTATAATAATATCTATGAAATTTATTATTGATTTATTGACATATTTGAAGTACTAAAAAGTAAAAAGCAAGATACTACAAATATGTGTCGAAGTCAAATCAAAAACATCATAAATTTTAATAAAAAAGTCCGGAATTTTTCAAATTACTAGACGCTAAAATATATTTTAATACGACACCATAAAATACATATACATAAATAAGGAGAAAAGGCACGTTGATTCTCTGATGTCCGTTACTACATCACCATATGATTTACGCGTCCCCCCCCTTCCAGAAATCCCCATCCCTACCCTTCCCCTTTTTAAACGTCGCGAATTCAAGTTTTAAATCGCTGGAACGACCATCCAACCACCCCCTTGCCCCTTGCCACATTGTAACAAGAAAATACAGAGATAGACAGAAACGGGAGAAAAGAAACAGAAAGGAGAAAAAGAAAAATGGCCGTAGCGTATAGTTAATTACCAGGCGTCAGTTTGTGGGTTACTTCCCCGAAAGGCGAAGGATTCTGTGGCCTGGAATTGGCTTGCGTCGACGTACCGGGAGAAACACACATCGGTACGCATCTTCGTCGTTTACTAGGACGACCATGACTATGCACCGGGTCGAACTCCAAAGATCTCTTCAGAGTAGCGCAGGCCATTTCTACCGTTCACTCGTCCTGGTTCACGACTGACACCCACAGATTATGATGGGCCGAGCCCGCGAGCAACGATGATTATGCCGAAAAATACAGCAAAACCACCGTGTACGCGCACCGCCTGAACAGTTTCTTTGAGTGCACTCTAGCTGTTCTAACTTTCTTCGTGCCGATCTCCTCGGATTTCCTTGTATCCCGACAAGACTGCACCAAAACAAACACTGCGGTAAAACAATATGGCTGGCAACCACGATTCGTCGGCTAGGAACGACCACGGAACGAATGTCTCGACCATTCAGAGCACCATCTTTTCACTGGGCCACTGCTTGCATTCCGCAATGTATATGTCGTAGACTCAACCGAATGAGATCCCTCGTTTCCGATTGGTTGAGACGTTGCACGATGGCGTCTCTGTGCATTTCCTTCCTACGACTCTCTTTAAATGAAATGTAAAATCGAGTATCCACGGATGTTTATCATTTGGATATGATTAATATTATTATTAAATACTTAAACATTCTCATGTTGAACAAGATTGAGCAACACTTCAATATCGACTATCTGTTATGAATAATAAAAGTTCTGAACTTAATGTTCGAACGAGTGTGTCATCGACTTTTATATGTTAAACCTTTTGAAATTATAGACATACTATTATTCGTGTTCAAATTGCAAACATTTTCAGAGTTTCATACGAAGAAATATTTAAGTCATTTTAAGTAATGAAAAATTATTCCAACAACATATTGTATCCCTTCTTATAAATACATATTTTCTGACGAGTATCATGCGCATAAATCAGCATAAATATCAAATTTCAAATACATATTTCTTAATATTCTATGGTTGATTGTATCGTCTATAGCAAATAGATTTAATCATTTCGAATTTTATTATAAATCTTTTATAATTAAATATCTTGTATATAAGATGTCGATTATGAGTAATTACACAGTTTGAACAACTTCGGTTTTCGTTTGAAAATATGTAATCTTGTAAAGCATGCGCATGACTTCCGTCTGTCCCCCATCTGATCACTTTGTGTGACTTTGGAGAATTTTGAGCGCTGTCAAGAAGAATCTTCCGCTGATCTTCCGCCATCATAATACATTTTGCCTATATTCTTGTATCACGTCCAACAACGCGAATAATAATGACATCGGTAAGTCCAGTTGTGATAGCAGCTACAGCTAGGCATACGGCTACGGTAAGTGAAAATTAAAATCTTCTTTAGTTATACCTAGCGCAAAGTAACTCATAATTAACCGTAAATGAATTATTTCTGACATAATATTGCCGTATAAATATTAAACCTGTGTACCATATTGTATTGGTCCTTATTTCACGTTCTACATTTGACATTTTTATCATTATCTAAAGTTAAAACACTTCGGTTTGAAAGATTTAATGGTATAAGTAATGAATCTTATATATTTTGATGGTTTCATTAAAAATACTTGTGAGAAGATTAAAATTATTCAGAGCACTTAATATGATTTCACATAGTTTCATTGATTTGATATAATATAGTTTCGTTATATTGTTGTTACAGCTAATATTTTTTCATGGATTAGGCGACACAGGGTAAGACTAGACATTATGTAATGTGATAGTAATGTATTTTTGTACTGTATATCTATATGAGTTCAATTGGCTTTTACAGACATGGCTGGGCCAGTTCAATGAGTGCAGTACGACTACCTCATATTAAAGTTATTTGTCCCACCGCGTATGTATATTTTCATTAAAAAATAGTCACTTATATATAAATGACAATATTTGTTACTTTTATATTATTAAAATATGTAATTCAGTCCTATTATTTTAGGCCTACAATGCCAGTGACACTAAATGCAGGATTTAGAATGCCTTCTTGGTGAGTGAGCAAAATAAGTATTTGTGATACATTTTTGAGGTAATTTATCTAATGGCACAGCAAAAGTCAAGACTTAGATGAGATTGCATTAACAAATGCAGGTTTGATCTGCGAACTTTGGATCCTAGTGGAGTTGAAGATGAAGAAGGTATAAAGAAAGCTGCAGAAATGGTGCACTCTTTAATTGCACAAGAAGTGGCAGCAGGAAACCAGAACCTTTAGCTGGTATTATAGCCTTATCATGTTGGCTTCCTATGCATCAGAAATTCCCTGCTGTATGTGTATTCAATAAAAAATGTAATAATATGAAGTACCTACAATGTTTATAACATTGCGTTTTTCTTAGGCAGCAATAGGAAATAGAAATACTCCATTGCTACAATGCCATGGCAACTGTGATCCAATAGTGCCATATAGATGGGGACAAATGACAGCATCTTATCTCAAACAATTTATGACACAAACAGAATTTAAAACATATGGAGGGATGATGCATACATCATGTGATGAGGTAGGAAAATTAGACGTAGTTTAATAATTTGTAATAGATGTATTCAAGATTCTGAAGAGTTTATAAACGATTAATAATGACTGTTATTTTCGCAGGAAATGAGTGATATGAAGAAATTCATTGAAAAAGTGTTGCAGCCATAATAGTTCTATTAAATACAGCAATGTTTTAAGTGTTAATCTTATTACCTTATTGTTCTTTATTAAATTAATTCTTCCAACTTTACTGCTACTTAAGTCTAGCGCTTGGTGAAGAAGTAAAGACAGAAATAGGTGAAAATATTTAAAACCTTAAGGGGAAAAATCCAATGGTAGTAACAAATTATTATTTTGATAAATATTTATTTCCGATCTGTTATCACTTCCGTTCATTCGGGTGATTTTTACTTCCTTTTACATGATAAAGTTGTAACGAATACTAGAAGTTGATGGCATTTTTAATTCTAAATATCTTACCACATATTACAGATAACAATTGAAAATAACAAACTACCTTGTATGTACTTCATACAGTGTCTCATTACTTTCTATTTATTTGTACAAACCATGTGTGATTAATTTAAAAATGAATATATTATTTAGAAGAAAAATAGTATTAATTGGTTTAATTTTACTTTATAAAGAGACATCCACAAAGATACATTCAATTGAACATTTTAATTTCTATACATATTAGGATGTTTATAAGCATTTAGATATTCTTTGTAATACTTCCATTTTATATAAGTTACATATAATGTACAAACATTACTGCGTATAAAATAATGACTTTTGTAGAAATCTTGTCTAGAAAACAGTAATATGGCCATGTAATTTGTGGTTACAAAATATAGTTTTGAAATCAACAAACTCGATAATTTTTGGTAGATATCATATTCGCGAATACCAATCACAAGAAATGTGAATAGTGAGTACAATAACACTGACATGTGTATAAGTACAAAAGTTACTAAAAGTAAGATGTACTGTGATTATCATAACTTATAATTCAAGCAACTGAAAAGCAATACTAGTTACATAATCAAACACATGGATAATTGTTTGTATTATTCATTTAAATCTTTAAAATTCAACCGGTCGTACTAATTATGTGAATAATTTTCTTCTTTTCAGTGTTTGTATAAAATTATATTATATTTGTATAAAATTATTATTGTATATTTTTTTAATCTTTACAATTAAACAGTAGAATGACTGTCATTTACTAACGTTTCAAGTACAAATAAGTAAATTTTTTAAAACTGAAAATTGTATAAATGAAGAATATTAAAAAACCATATTGCTAAGTAATTTACTTATTTGTAGGGAACGTTGGAAAACAAGATAGTATTGCATATTTTTAAGAATATTCTTTATGAAAATTTTTGTATTATCAATATTTATACCTCTCTTTCATTTCTTGTAAAGAATCATGTATCAATAAATTTTTGTTATCAGTTTCATTCATGCTCCGCATTTTGTTCATGATATAATAATAATATGCAATTGAAGATTTAAAGAATATAGAGACTTTTAAAAAACTAATTATTTAACTGCATCATAAATAGAAAATGACATCATAAATAGAGAATATTAAATTTAGGAGCAGAATAATTGCTACATAAATTAATGATCATATTGTTCTCAATGACATTACAACTTTTAATGATAATTTTTATCGCGAACTTCCCAATTATGCACATGAAACAGAACGACGTTAAGTTTTTCATCAGTTGTGCGTGATAAATTTGCAATTATTTCTTATAATGGCAAATAAAAATACATCCGATGTCTTGCATTCCGTAGAAAATGGAATTTTGAAAATTGTATTAAATAGACCAACAAAAAAAAATGCCATCAGTGCTTCTGTGAGTAACTTTTAAATTATGTAGAACTTTAAGGTTGGAATACATAAGCATATTCAATGGTCTGAACAGATGGATCAGAACATCCTTTTTATATTGATGTATCTTTGTTTAATAGATGTACAAAATAGTGATGCATCTCTTATATGACTCTGTACATGATAGTAATATACATGCAGTTGTTTTAACTGGATCCGGAAACTATTTTAGTAGTGGAAATGACTTTTTGTCATTTATGACGAATGGAGATGAAGACACTCCTAATATCGAAAACTCAGTTGCTATTTATAAGTAAAAATTTACAGAAGATAATTTAAAGTATTTAATATTTATTACCCAGAATTTCACCTGATATCATTTTTCAGAAATTTTGTAGATACTTTAATTACATATCCCAAGCTTTTAATAGCTATTGTAAATGGTCCTGCAATTGGAATTGCAGTAACTATACTACCATTGTTTGATATGGTATATGCATCAGATATGGTAATTCTGATTTATGACTACATGAAGTAATACTTTTCTATTCATATGATAAATAATCTCTCATTATTTAAATATTATTCTAGGCTTCCTTTCACACACCATTTACTAAATTGAGTCTTGTTGCCGAAGGATGTTCTACCTACACATTCCCTAAAATACTGGGACAATCTAAGGTATCTAGAATACTATTATATGTTATTAATTTATAACATTCTATACACTCTTTTAGGCTGGTGATATGTTGTATTTAGGCTATAAAATGAATGCTTTAGAAGCTAAGCTATATGGCTTTGTTAGTGAAGTATATAAACATGAACACTTAAATGATGTATGGTCATATCTGAACAAATTATCTACACTTTCAGCAGAGGTAAGTATCCATTATATCTGTACCACATGTAATACTACTGAAGATCTCTTAAAATATACAATATCCTTTTTAGTCAATATTGGCCATTAAACGTCTAGTAAAAAGATGGAATGAGAGGCTCTTATTGGAAGTTAATGAACAAGAGTCGATTGAACTCATAACAAGTGTAAAATCACCTGACTTCGTGCAGAAATTTATGAGTACAATGTCAAGTAGAAGTAAAATTTAAAAATGAAGATATAGGTATATTGAACTGAAAAATATTGTGAACACTTCATATGCATGTTGAAGAAGAATTGATTATTATTATGTATTAAACTATAATTAAGCTTTCTCGTTTAAAATAGAATTTCTGAACAAGAATGTTATATTACTAGATATTTCAGATAACATGATTTCCTACAAAAATAGTGAATGCAATTATTATTAGAAATCTATTATGGTAATTAGCAATAAGTAATTCTTACCTGTATTATGTTATCTGGAATTGGTTGCTGATAATGTTCCCACTTCAACAGCTGATTTATTGTCAAATTTTGTTGCGTTTCTTTATCTTCTAGAAGTAGCTGATGTGTCCGTTCATTTTCAGTATTCAATGGTTTAGATCTTGTTTCTCTTTCTTTGTATTCATTGCAACTACATTTCATTAGATCGTGTGTTAAACAATCTGTATCTGTTGTCAGTGTAAAGAGGTCCTAAAAGTGTTGTAAATACAACATATATTTTATACTGTGACTACTTGTAATATTTAGAAGAAATATATAAAGAACACAAACTTTCAATTCATTTGTAGACAGTTTTAGTGAAGCAGAGCAATTCAGATCCATTACAGTTTTGCTCAAGCCTGCTTTGCTAATTTGCCTCTGAAAAATTTTTTCTTCAATTGTTCCTGTTGTTAGTAATCTACAAATTTTTTTAATATTATTATATGAACATAACTTGAATTCGTATATACTATAAATATAAAATCCTCCAACCTTAAAGTATAAACATTTCTTTGTTGACCTTCTCTCCAAATTCTTGCCATAGCTTGAGAATCAGATGCTGGATTCCAGTCCGAATCAAATAAAACAAGTCTAGACGCACCAGGAAGGTTTAAGCCAACTCCGCCAGCTTTGGCACTTAACAAAAATATCTCTGCAAAAGTTATATAAAAATTGATGGCGTACAAATGTAATTAGGTACTCTGTTATATATACTGACTGCTTTCATTGTTTCTTGAATTAAATTGATCAATGATCTTGGATCTGGAGCTGCTTGCTGTACTACCATCTAATCTAAGAAACTGTAAGTTTTCGTTGCTGCAAACATTTTCAAATAAATCCAACGTTTGTGTATAATAAGAAATTAATACTAATTTTTCTTCAGTGTTCTTTAAATTTTTTATTAAAGTTTGTATAACCGACATTTTTCCACAGTAAGTATTTTTTGAAATATTTCCACAGTTTTTTCTGTAAGAATTTCTATTCGTATTTGTAAAGTCATTCGGAAGCAAATCATTCTTTTCGTTGTAAAATAAATCCGGATGGTTACAAATTTTTTTCAGCATTGTTATCACTGTCAAATGAGAAATGCCGTTACCCGGTAGTACTGTTCTATTAAACCAGGCGTCCGTGATGCGTCTATACAAGTCTTCTTGTTCGTCAGATAAACGGCAAAATACAACTAGCTCGTGCTTAGACGGCAAGTACTCATTAATTGTATCTTGTGTACGCCTTAGGATGAAACATTTCATTTTTTCATGTAATTCATTGGCTCTTTCTGTTCCCAGAGACACAACACTTTCGGTTGCATGAGGACATCGCGAAGCTACAATAGGGTTTTCATAATAATTTGTAAATTCATAATTACTGCCCAGTATACCTGGGTTTACGAAGTCTATTAATGCAAAAAATTCTTGTAGATCATTTTGCATTGGTGTCCCACTTAAGAGGATTCTCTTTTTACAGTCCATGTTACTTAAGATCTAAAAGATATGCATACTCAGTATTAATTACGTTTTTTTTTGATGACTTACATTTAAAATTATCAATACATGCAATCGATGATAGTACCTTTGCTGCTTTTAAATCGTTATTTTTTAATTTGTGGCCCTCATCACATACAATTAAGTCAAAAGCTGTTTGCTCAATTTCTTCTTGACATCTAATAAGCATATCATAACTAATAATCATTATTGAATGTTTCAACTGTTTTTTGAAGTCTTTTGGTTTATTTTTAGCATTTACAACATATGGAAATATTCTGTGGCAACCCAACCAGCGTCCAAATTCTTTGTTCCAATTACTACAGAGACTACTAGGAGTTACTACTAATACATAGTTCAGGACTGGTTTTCCATATGGCCCTTTTTTTAATAGTGTCCAAATAAGAGTAATGCATTGCAATGTTTTACCAAGACCCATTTCATCAGCTAAAATGGCACCAAAGTAATTGGGTACTTTCAAACCCATAATACATTCATAGAGAAACACAATACCATGTCGTTGATGTGGCCTCAATGCATTTACTAAACAAGCATCTACAGTTACTTCTTCTTCTTTTTCTGGTGTATCGCTCTCAATCCAATTTTGTGAGGTACATATAACAGGCATTACAAGAGGATCGGATGTTAATTTGAACCCTTCAATAAAACATAAATATTAATTTTCTCATGTTACATTGATGTTAGTTTTAAAATCAAGTTATAGCTTAAACCTTTTTTTAAAGAAGCAAGGGGTTGATAAGAACCAGAACTGGAACTTTTTAACTTTTTTCTTGGTGGTTCTGGAATTGTTTCCTCAACCAATTTATTTGCCAATGATTGGTTATCTATTACTTTATTCACTATCTGTAAATAAATATATATTAATCTCTAATATAAATTTTGTAGTTAAATTACACATTGTTACCTCAATTTCTTTATTTTCTATGTACATCCTAAAACCTTCCACTAGACTTTCTTGATTAATCACTGTCCTCTGAATGACATTACCTTCTGAATCCTATTCAATGTAAAAAGTAGTTTAGCCTTCTAATTGTTGTAAAATATAAAATTAAGTATATTATCCTTGTATAGATTACCTTTAGAACTGCATGTTTCCCTGTAACTTCTAAAATACCATCATCCTCCCACTTTTTATGTTTTCTTGCAGATTTTTTGCCTATCACTACATTAAAAATGCTAGAAAAAATTAATAAATGATACAGTTAAATGTCTATACCTTTAAGTAAAATATTCAGATACATACATTTTATTACTGTTACTAATTATTGTGGACTTTTCTTTATTGCTCATTGCATTGTCATTGTTTTGTACAACTGGAATATATCCTTCTTGAATTTCTTTATTTTCTTTTTCGACAGATGTCTTGAATAAGTTAAGAATACTCGTAGTACTTCTGCGAGAACATTGTTCTGAATTTTCAGGCGATTTAACAACATTTTTTGAACTTTCCTTGGGCTGACTATCTGCCGATTGTTGACATTTTAAAACAGATTTGAATCCCTTGACTTTATTATTTCGATACATAATAAACTTGAAAAGAGTACTTTGTTAAAAACATTACATGATTGAATCTAACGACACTATGACATTGCATGTAAAAGAATAAATATTAATTAAGTAAATAATGTATTCAAATTCGTTTCGTTACCGAACCGACTGGACTGCCCCGATATTCGGGACAAGAATTAAGTGGCTTGGCGCTCTTTAGAATGTTATTATTACTAGGATAAAGTCCCTGGCAATCGTAGCAGGTCTCTCACTAGATTTACTGAGACTCATCCTATCGCACTGGGGATATCATTTAATAATTCAAAATTAAACAGAATTCTCACTTTATCTAGGAACTCTAGGCTTATCGATGTATGGAGGAAATTTGGAATTGCTAGGAATATTGTCCTAGTAACAACAGGACGATTGAAAGGCAGTGTGTAGTTCAGTGTAGTTTTCTACATTTGATGCATGGCATGCGTAATCTCATATTTGCAAAAATACGGAGTGGAGGTATTTGCGTTAGAATGAATACATATCGTTAAATCGTTAGAATTCCCAGAAAGAAAATGTTCCGAGACGTTTACAGTGCTTCCAAGTAGAGTACCAAAGGTGACATTAGACGGTACAGTGAGCTTACAAATGAATCGAACGGGAAAATAATCATGCGACCTTCCTTTTCAGAGGAATTCTGTCATAGATGAGAGAGCTAGACTGACGGAGTTGAAAATACATCTCTGACAACGAAATCGAAGGAGAATGTATTGCCTACAGTGGTTGATTCCGGTGTTACTAATACCAAAACCAGTAAATCCAGCATTACTGGACACACATGACATGTTCATGGCACTCTATCTACTTGGATTCTTCCTAGAACGAAAACCATGCACTATTTGTAGTATAGTATTTCTTGTCACAGTTTCCTTAATTTGTTACAGTGGCATAGGTAAATGTCTCCTTTGGAGCACAAATTGTGATACAGTGAGATGTGGTAATAGTTAAGATTGTTGGAATAATTGGTCCTAGGTTCCACAATTGTCAGTACTCTTATGTTTTCTTTAAAAGAATATATAAAAATTATTTTATAACGTAACCCAATAACTGACTAATATATAAATATATATATACATACATTATTTTGGCATTTCTGTGTATATATATGTATATTAGTAAATGTACATAAATATGATTTTTTATGGTTTTCGTCATAGTTTCTATAGTTCTTGTAATTGATACACATACATGAATCTGTATTTGTACATGTACATACATTTATATATGTACTTATACAAGCAGAACATAAGAACATATAAAACTGGTAGCCATAAAGAAATTTTACACTAAACTGAGAAACTTTTGTGTAAGATCATGACAATTCAAGATTATAAATCGAATAAAGCACATGATCCTTGTATATATAATTAAATTTGATTCCAGTTAACTGAATCATATTATAGTGTATATAAAATTTTCTAACCAGAATTGTTGACTCTTTTGTAAGTTGCATACTTTAAGAATCAATATTTTCTTTGCTCTTCGTTTTATTTAAATAAATTTTCATTTGAAAAGTTCATTATTAATTGTGTTATATTTAGATGTTAAGGTCTTAAAATTCTCTTAATAGTTTTGAAGTATGATAGTGTATCCTGTATTTGCTGACTGCCAATATGATTAAAACATAACTAACAATCCAACTCCATAATGTGGAAAATTTTGAGATAAAACAATACCTACATAATGAACGAATTTAGCTGCAATTTATCGACAAATAGTAGAAATAAGTATTGCGCTAATAGATAAGTTATATATATTCCATTCTGATCTGTGTTACATTAGAAATGCTTATTATATGTAGAATTTGCAATTGATTACTTTTGACTTGTTCATAAAATAAATATATTTTATTGAGCATGAAGTGTAGTAAACACTGAAATGTAACTAAAGGTTCCCTGAAAATTCTGCATATAAACAAACTACATAGATATAGAGACGCATCTTCATTTAGTGTAGGATGTATGAAATTAATGAATTTCATGTACTTTACATAAGAAAAGCCTGTACTATGCTACTAATCTACAGAATTTTGTAGCTTATTTTAAGCAAGATGAAAGTTTAACTTTACCTCATCAATACAAAGTAAATAAGGTTTTCATTTCAAGCTTCTGCTTCGGCACAAACATGTATCTGTGATGTTTCCAGTTTCAAGCATGAGTCTTGTCAAAGATAATACATTTACTTACAAAAGACTTCTGATCAGTGTATATAATAATTGTGAACATTAATTGCCTACAGTTTGCTTCCATTTGTGGTTTTACATATTTCATGACTGTACAATTTGTAAGTAAATGTACACTTTTGTAATATAATAGAAAATAAATAAAAAATTACTGTAACTCTCTAATTTCATTTTTGGATGACTTGTGAATGATGTGAGGTTGACTGAAATGATAATACTGTTAGATCAGAAAAAATTTATTTATTTTACATTAAAATATTATTGAGGTTTGCCACGACCGAAACCTCCACGGAATTCAACATCACCAGTTCCTGCACCAACATCAGCCTTTTTGTCACCAGGACCTGCTGGCCCTCCAGGTCCTCTTCTATACCCTGCACGGTCTTCTGTTGGTCTGGATGCTTCGCTTCTAGTAGCTGCTGCAGGTCGTGGCCTTGTTGTTTCTGACCTTGTCTGCCTCTTCAGAGTGGAAGGTACAATTTCAGGAGGTAGGTGCAAGTATCCACGTAAATATTCAATGCCTTCATTTGTCAGATACCAATAAAAATGTCTCCAAGCAAACTGTTCTTTGACATGTCCCCTGGATTTCAAAGACTATAAACACAAATTTATAAAAAAATCAATTACATTGAAACAATAAAATACCAATGAATTAATTTGTACAGGATTACTACCTGCATGGCTTTAATAACTTGAAGATTTGGAATAGATTCTAATTCTGGGTGTTTTGGTGCATGGTAGTCTTTCTTTGCTACCATAACACCCTCCTTGAAAAGATGTTCATAAATTGCTACACGATTCTTTTTTGGCATCAACATCCTGAAAATAATGAAGTATAAATATGAAAATTAACAATGTTATGAGTATACCCATTTCATTTTAAGTACACAAGAAAGAAAGTACTCAGTTTATCCACTATATCCTTTATCTACCACAGTATGCAGCATTAATTTTTTAAACTTTATCTGACATTGATAGAAATCAGATAACAATATAACAATAGAAAAGGATATTAAGTGAAACCAATATCATTCAAAATATATTAAGCTGGAATATTTAAATTTCTTTGATTCGCTAAAATATTTATTATTCAATTTGATACAGAAAAGATTTTGATATATACAAAATAAAACCTGTGATATATACAAATTTGTATTAGCATTGTAAAAAAGATATGAACATTCGGCTTGGTTAGGTATATGTCAATAGCATACAATATGAATTATAAACAAAAAATATCAATCATATGAAAATTCTTTGATTCAGCAAAGATCAAAGAACTTAACAAACCTCCAACTTTCTTACAATATTTATATACATTTACGATTAAAATAGATATTACAAGAAGCCTAACATACTTGATGTTTCAGCGTGAGCCTTCTATCGGAAAGAAACTTTGCTGGCTCGCGATATATTGCGTACACGAATCGATGTATCGTTCGAGAGTAACCGGAAACAGCGAATGTTACTAGGATCACCGACAAGATATAGAATAGACCTATCATCCAATGCTTTTTTCTGTCCCACGTTCGGAGGGCTGCGTAACCACCGATTAATACCACCGACTAAGTATAGGATAGACCTATCCTCTTATGGTACTTCATGTCTCATGTTCTGAAATACCGATAGTGTATAGACCTATTGGTTTCTTTTCGCGTACAAAAAAGTTATTGCGTTTAATCACCGATTAGGTACAGAATAGACCTATCATCCAATGCTTTTTTCTGTCCCACGTTCATAGGGCTACGTAGCCCTGTTACCATTTTAGTGTCAATATCCGACGTTACCGATAAAGCATGAATTCTGGGTATTATTAGCACCAATGAAGTGTTATTCCATTCATATTGTGTGTATCTATATGATTTGACGGGAATAAAAATATCCGATGCTTCAGTTTAACGTTAAGGGATAAATATGACAGTCATGAAACATGAAACGGAAAAGTATATATTTTTTCACTTAACTACAAGACAATTTACTCTAAATGCATTGTTAATGGATTTCATTCGTTTTTATATCTTGCCTTACATTTGTGTATTTGTAACAGATAAATT